AATGTTAAAGAATTATTTTCAATAAAATCTTGTAACATTTACATATAATTGATGGGCTGTGCTGTGACGTGTCTCATTCACAAAGCAGTCCAGACAGAAAAACTGAAAATCGTTAATGGGCGGAGCTGTGCACGGAATAGGTAGGTAGATGTAAAGGTGTTTTTTGTGTGACATCACAAAAACAAATCAGGTTTTTGTAACTTAGTATCCATATATGAACTGTATGGACTGGGGAACGGCGCGTTTTAATATTTTAACAATGTTTACATACTACATCAAACCCTTTTATCCCAAAAAAGCAGGGGAAATTTGGTTGTCCATGCTATGGGTCCTTTTTTTGCCTTTCAAAGGTTTTGTTTTGACAGTGATAATATGCTATTCATGATGGAGATAATGTGCATATTCCTTAAATTTAGTGACATATAACTGTATGCATATTGAAAAACTGAAAGACTGTAATGACATGTCACAGGAACAATACTGGACAGCAAGTGGAAGATAGCGCTTACTGCTGAGGCACCAACACAGAAATATAGAACATATAAATGATTATCTGGATAATGTAGTACATACATACAGGTGTGTAAAATTTAAATCAAAAAAGAAAAATTAAAGGAAAAAACAACATAAAATGTCTTCAGGTGTTTACAGATTCTATAAGTTCTGGAGCGATACAGCAACATTTTTCCAAAAGATATTCCTTCAGTTGGTGTTTTGATTTTGGTGACAGAGAGTGCTGCCTATTCCCTCATAAAAGGCCCATATCCTGCATTTTTCTTGCATTTTATTTTTGTTTGTGTGGTTTTATGTACCAAAAACAGTGATCATTCATTTATACATGATTATTTTTCTTCTTAGAATTAAACAGGCTGTTTTTGTTGTTGTGCCTTTTAGACTGATATGTGTAGATTACCTCTCTTCTGACTGGCTGCTCATTCATTCTGCCTCATTCAAAAAACAACCCACTCCTTATAACTTCTGCATGACTGTGCAGAACTATTAGGCAAAATAGGTGCAAGCATGTAAATGATTTGGTTTTTCATCGCTGAAAAATGAATTTAAAACAGGCTGTGGACTATATGGACTGGAGCATGAACGATACATTTGTAAAACTTTTACAGTGTTTACATAATCTTTCAAACTCTTTTATTCCAAAAAAACTATAGAAATTTGGATTTCCCTTATATGTGACCTTTGAAAATAAAGATGCCAAAAAGAGTTCTTTGTAAAAAGCCACTTTTGGCTTTCTAAAGAACGCTTTGATGGTTGGGTGTTTGAAGAACCATTTATGTATATGGCATGTGTAAATGTTTCAGCTGGAGAACATTTTCAAAGTTTAAAGGAACTCCATGTGATGTAAATGGTCAAGGAAGAATCCGTAAACTGGTGTAGAACCTTTGCAGTATGTGATGGTTCTTTAAATCTTTAAAATGTTCTTCGCACTCTCAAATCTCTTTTTCAGACATGCTTCTTTAAAGAATCAAAATGGTTCTTCTACAACATCTCTCAAAAAACCCTTTTGGCACCTTTTTCTGAATGTGTTTTTCCAATGTCTCCTAAAAGTGTTCGCTGGGTTGAGATCTTCTGATTGTGAAGGCCTCAGTATATGATTTACAGTATAATGTTGGGTAATTCAGTGTGGATATGCATTGTGTCCTGGTGTGCTTTCAATGAGAAGAGAAAGGGCTTAAAATGCCACTCAAAGCAGAGCATCCGCAGTGCTTGAATGCCATTTGGAAAGGGCTGTCTTTGCACCATCTTTCAATAAATCCACACCTGAGTGTTTCAGCTGGAGAATTTATGCCAAACCATGTAGAGCTATTTATTTAATGAGCGTCTACAAGACCGAATAACCCTCCAGTATAAATGATCTGTAGATAAGCCAAGAGGCTTATCTAAGTATGAGCAACAAGACCAAGACCAAACAGAAAAAAATCTTCTGGGACTGCTGCCACTGTAAAAGATGAATCCAAATACTGATAGTTCAGGCAGAGGAACTGGCACAGAAATACTTTCCATAATCAGTCTAGAGAGTTCAACCTAAAAAAAAAAGGCTCGCAAAAACTGTTTCAGCAGCTCAGTTTCTGGGCCAGGCTGTTTGATATGTGTGTAAGGGTCTGTACCAGGTTTATGCCACGTCGTGGGGACCTGTTTATAGATACACACACACACATTGTGGAGACCTTTCTTTCTTGTGGGGACCACAAACTGGTTCCTACAATGTTAATCATTCAATTTTAGGAAGAAGGCATGTTTTAAGGTTAGGGTAAGGTTAAGGTTAGGGTTAGGCTTAGGCTTGAAAGTCTATGTAATGTCCCCACAATTCACAAATCCCAGTGTGTGCATGTGTGTGTGCACACATACTGTACACTGGGCTGCAGTGTGTGTATCCTCCCCCGCGCGTGTGTGAGCTTCTGTATTAATGACTCAGGCTCACCTTGCAGGGTCAAACCCATTCAGCCTCGCTGATGGATCTCGTCTGCAGCGGCCCGTGGTGGGATCGCACTCCTCACATGTGCTGCTTCATCCATCTTACAGTTGAAGAGGAACACTCGGACCCTCCTGCTGAAGAAGAACACTGTGTGTGTGTGTAAGTGGTGGGGGGGGGGTTGGAGCTGGGAGTTTGGCAGAAGAGAAAGAAAGACTGCCACAAAGCACAAGCTAGGCACATTCATAAACAAACAGATTTATACATGCTCACACAAACAGTCTGAACAGAAAGTAGAGATGTGATAAAAGCCGAATGTCATAATCTCAATCTGATAACTCCCAGCTCCAGGCCTTGTCTGAGTGAGCTAAGTGCTTCAGATAAGTTACCTGCTACTTAATGAAAAAAAAACTGCTATCAGGTGAACCAGCTTACTTACTATTTGATGCAATGAAATGTAGCGGATTAACACGATCAAATAAGTGAGCTGAAGTGAAATTAAACTGAAGTGGAGCTTCTCAGTGTATCCGGCATCTATCAGCAGAAGAACCAGCGTTTGGTAGGTGTTACTGTTTTCTATTTGAGATTGCAACATAAAAATGCTAAACCCAAAAAGTAAATAGAACTAAATGTGGACACCTGAAAAGATTAAAGAGGGAATTAGGAGCTGAGATTCCTTTCCTCACAAATACAACATCACTTTTGAACAAAGACCTCTCTCTGCAAAACCTCCATAAAAGTAACTTTTCAGGAGAAAAAACATTCCCAACTTGTATGTTGATGTAAAGAGTTCGTATTCCAAGCAATTTTGTATCATTTCTATTCATACATTTATAACACAATGTAAAGGAGAGCTGGGGTTTTCAGATTACATAAAAAATGCAAAACTACAAAAATTAAGATGTAAGATTCTGTTCTGGCTGTAATGATAAGTGAATGTATTATACTCTGAAAATAATAGAAATTCATTACAACTGTGTTAAAGTATATGGAGGTGAGTAAATGTAAGTGTTTACTGATCACCTCTGGCTTCAGGACAGAAAATAAAATTTTCAAGCCATGAAAATTAGTTTTAACTGTACACAGAGTTTGCATAGAGATGCATATGTATATTTGTTGGCAACATTGTATTTATAATTGAAGAATATCTTCCTAAAATGCTGTGTATCCACTTGTAAGAATTTTGGAGATTTATAACGCATTTTTGAAGAACATCTTACTTATAACAGAATTATTCCTCTAATAAAAGTGGTGTTAATTAAAATATAACTTTAGTATTTCTCAATAATGTATAACATGAAAAAAGAAAATTCTCTGTAATCTGTTTTAGAATGAAAGCTTTCAATTGCAGAATTGTAACTGTGTTTAGTTTTCAGTTATAAAGATATACATGTTTTCCATGTAGGAAATAAGTATTTAACTTAGAATCCTAGCCAAATTTCACCCTGAGGCTCATTATTCAGTACCTACATGGACTACACTGCAGTGCAGAGCAATCCTTTGGTTATAGAAGTGCATAATAAAAGTTTGGCCCTGCTGGCGGGTCCTGGCCAGTTTATCACTCAGTAAAATAGTAAAAAAACAGTGCCACCATTGCTGAGTATAATTTAGGTCAAAGTGTAATTTATACTGGATTTAAGACTACACATACAGCCTTATGGAACAGTCACCATATCACATCCCAATTATTATTATGAAGCAGCTAATTACTTGTTTTGGTGGTAGAAATATAGTGTGTGTCTTTAAAAATACCTTAAAGTAACTTTCAAACAGGAGCTCTGAAAAGTATTTGAAATGTTTACATTTACAATGAACACAATATTTAGTATTATCAACTTTTGCCATTTTAATTTATTTTGATCATATCTATAGTTTTTATATTTTATATATTTTTTATATTTATTTTAGATCATCATATCATCTTCTTCACCTGAAAGCTATAATGTAGGCTAAAAGAAAGCATTATAAAAAGAGTTCATTTAAATTTGGAGCAGAACAGCTGATCCTTCTCAGAAATAACAGACAAGTCACAATAATTGGCAAATAATCAATCACTAATTTAATGAAATATTTTTTTTATTGAAAAAAAAAAACATTACCACAGAGGATGAAGTGCTCCTCTGTTTGTGGCAGAGAGTTCAGATCAGCCACAGTTCTGAGCTGAACACAGCTTTGCTTCAAAGCACACAAACAAAATGTTAGTACATCAGAGACATCACCTCTGCTCCGAGTCCTGAGAACAGAATCCTGTTAATCTCCTCCTGCTCACCGCGCCACTGTTTCACATCACCGTAAGTGCATCAGCGCTAATAAGGCACATTATTGCATCATCAAGTGTTTCTAGAGACTCTTTTATAAACTACAGCTAACTTCTATTTCCAAGTAGCTCAGAGTGTGAGTTAGGATGGTGTTCTGGAATTCTGAGGATCTTCAAAGGGATCATCCTTTTAGTCAGTGAAGAGCTCAAAGAGCAGGGAGTCCTTCTTAAGAAGCACAAGGTCCACATTTGTGTCTCTATCAATACATTAAAGTTACTCTTTTTAGGGCTACTATGAATGAAAGTCTGAGAGAGGGGCTCACATGGCCCAGGAGATGTTGGCTGTGTGCTCTTTGGCTTTCATCCTTAGGACAGCGATGCTGGAGGACCGCCGCTCAAATTCAGGCTTGCTCTCAAACGCTGCGTGCCCATTGGGCGCTGGAGCCAAGAGCGAATCAGCAAAGAAGTTGTTGAGGGAGACGTGATTGACGCCAAACTGGTTCTGCTGGTGGTTGGAGAAGCCCATGTAACTGTGCTCGGGGGCTCGAGGAGAATGGGGGTACGGGGACGGCACGCAAGGCGGGGAACCTCGTGGGATCATGCAGGACGACACCACGGAGCCACCAGAGGATGGAGCCGTCCACAAGTTGTTGGGAATCTGTGCAGAGTGAGAAAGGAAGAAAGTCAGATTTTACATTCAACACTCTTAAAGCAGAATTCCACAGATTTTCCTAAATCTCTCCATAATTCAATCATTAAAATGTAAACAGAGTCATTCAGAGTGGTTTGGGGGGCCATTCTAGAGAAACTCGGTAAGTCCGCATTGTTCACAATAGTGTTGATAGGAACCAGACGTCCACCTCCAAAAGCTCCCTCACAGAAAACTACTGCATGAAATAGTTGAGCCTTAAAACGTGTTTTTTGTTTTTTGTCCATTGTCCAAATGGACATACCATCCTATTTTACCATAACCACATTACATAACATAAAAAATACATTAAAAATTACATTACATAAAAAATTGTGAGAACATTGTAGGTTTACTGCTCATTTTGAATAGTAAATAAAATCCCTATATTTGTGTTGTAGACATGGCGACCCCTGGTTCTTATCACCACCACTGTAAACAAATCAGTTTCAAGTTTCTCTACAAAGAATCACTTTACATTTAACCACTCTAAATGACATTGTTTACTTACTGACTGAATTATGCAGACATTTTGAAAATATTATTCTTATTATTATTAATAATTTTCTTGTATAATCATATCATACATATAATCTTTATAATGTAGAATCCATTTTATATCATCTTAAATATCCTTATAAATTTGGTTTTATATAGGTTTATAAGGGTTCTTCTATTTTCACAAATCACAGAACCTATTTTAGCATCTTCATGATATCAGATAAACCTGATAGACCATAAATGATGACTAGCTAGGGCTAAAATAGACAGCAGATAAAACTCACAGGGTTCCACAGAGGAACAGAATCTATCCAGACCATCATAAAACAACATCTCTGAGCTTATTAATCAATTACGATTGCAGAGATCAGGACAGTTCTGGACAGCTCTGGCCAATCAGCTGCATTACATTGGCTGCACATAATATTCTTTGAATATCAGATATGAAGTCAGTCTTAAGAAAAATAGTGATGGCTGCATCCAGCATTATAAAGAAGTCCAGCTCTTAGATGGTCCAGATGTTCTTCATGATGCAGAGATCCTGCAGCTGCTTCACTCCTTATTGTCTATTTGCTTTAACTCATTAAACTGCAGCCTGTCCGATAATGCAATGTGTGCAGAATTCTAGAAAGTGTCTCCACTGTTTAGTAGTGAAAAGAATAATGCAAAACATGTACTGCCCATTAAACTTTAGGGTACCTAGACCTCGTATGAAGATTTCAGAGTAATGCATGATTTTGGGTAAGTAATAATAATGTAATAATGTATGACTTTAGTAAAGTGAGAGAAAATCCCTGTGAAGGATTCATTAACGCAAAACGGCTAATACATTGCATCACTCCTCTTCATTTCAGTCTTCTTTGAGTAAGTTTTACCTAAATAATAATTTGACTGTCCTCTTTTCCAAACTGTTGTTAAAAGTACTTGGATGAAACGTGGTTTAAATAAAGTACTTTTGGCAGTGTTTTTTGATTTTTGACAGTTGTTCCAGATGTTTTGCAGTTTTGCAGCAAAATAATAGCAATATCTAAACACTCTTCTGTTAATATTTTAAAGGGGTATTGAATTGATTTTTCAAAATTTCTGCATAATTAAATCATTCAGATGTAATCAAAGTGATTCAGAGTGGTTTGATATGAAATGCTCCTTTCTAGAGAAATTTAATGAATCAGAATTGTTCACAGTGGTGGTGAAAATAACCAGACATCCTCTAAAAGCTACCTCACAGAAAGCTATTACATGAAATGGTTACAAATATGCTGTTTTGTTGTAGTTTTGAGAAAAGATTTTGGCCTAAAGTATATTTTCTATATCCATTCAGGGCAGAGGGATACATGCAAGATGCTATAAAGCAAAATAGTCCCATAAAGAACCCGTTTTTTTTTCTGATGAACTACTATTTTAACATCGTCAGCATTACACATAAAAATGTGTGTGATAATTGTAGGTTCACTGTTGGTTTTGGATAGTAAATAAAATCACCTTATTTGTGTTGTATTTGTGTGGGTGCAGAAAGCTGTTAAGATATTACCATTTTTTTTGCAAAACTGAAGAAACAACTGTTAAAAAAACACTGTCAAAAGTACTATTTAAATCTGTCCTTTTAACAATAGTTTAGAAAAGAAAAAAATAAATCATTATTTAGGTAAAACTTACTCTTTATACCAAAGAAGACTCTCTGATGAACATGAAGAGGAGCTATGCAAAATATACCCAAAGAATTAGCCGTTTTAAATTAACAAAACCTTCACAGATATTTTCTCTTAGTGGTTCCTTGTTCCTCTGATTTCGTTACCCAGTGTAACGAAATCAGAGTTCGTAAGTTTCTCTACAATTATCCATTTCACATCAAACCACTCTGTATGACTTTGTGTGCATCTCACAATCAATGAATTATGCAAAAATTTTGAAAAATCAGTGGAATTCCTCTGTAGGTTATTTCAGACAAAGACAAATTGCAAATTTACATAAATATTTTGGAAAAACTAAGTATTCCCACAATTTTAACCCCTTAAATGGCCAGCCCCCACTAGTGGGCCCAAAGACACTTTTACAACCTAAAAATCGCTCAGCCAGTTGCATGTAATAAGCCTGGCATTTTAAAGGTTTAATAGACAGTGTGGCTGCATATTTCAGTTTAGCCAAAACTTTTTTAAATTTTTTTTTTAAAGACTGATATTCTTCCTTGCTATAAAGTGTTTATGTGTAAGTAACACATTAAATGGTGAACGAATCATTATTTAAAACCTATATCAAACCCAGCAGGCCTCTGATATGTCTGAATTGAACAAGCATTTTATGGAGTAAATGTTGATAAGGAGCAGTTTTCTCACCTGTGAGTAGGTGTCTGTTCTGGGTAAGGCCGTGAGCTCATATGTGTTGCTGTAAGGGCCTTTGGGCTGCTGCAAGTGTCCATAACGCTCCCTCTTCCTCCACTTAGCTCTGCGGTTCTGGAACCAGACCTACACATCAGAGTTCAATAACACGTTATTCACCATTCAGAAAAAAACTCATTATACATTAACAATTACAGTCTTTTTCAAGCTTCCAGCGTCATTCCTCTCATCTTCACTAAATTAAAGATGTATTCCTCACATCTTTCAACATTTATGCATAGACAAATGGTAAAGATGTAAACAAAGTCATTGAGAGTGGTTTGGTGTGAAATGCTCCATTCTGGAGAAACTTACTGAGTCAGAAATGTTTACAGTGTTGGTGATAGGAACCAGACAACGAAAGAGTACAACACTTCTAAAAACTTTTTTAAAAAGTTATTACATAAAAGAGTTACAGATATGTTGGCTGATGCCAAGTTTTACTATAGGTTTAGAATTAAGTTTTGGTTTATAACTTCATTCCTTAAAATACATAACACCCAAAGATTTTTTTTTCTTCATTTCTATCATTTTATAATTATCAGCATTACATATAGAAACTCAGAAGACATGCAGATTCACTGGACAGTCTGAGTGGTTAATAAAATGACTATGTTTGCGTTGTAGACACAGTGACCCCTGGGTCCCATCATCACCACTGCAAAGAAATTAGTAAGTTTCTCTGCAGGGTACCATTTCACATCAAACCACTACGAGTGTCTTTAAATTAAAATTATTGTCTTATGGAGAACTTTGGAGAAATCGGTGGAATTCCCCTTTAAACTTTGTCGTTTTATAAATTTGGCAGCAGAATATAATCGATATGTATTTACCCTGTAAACGGTCTGAACTGGATAAAGTTAGTCTACATGCCAAAACATAAAAAGGAAGAAAGAAAAAAGAAAGAAAGAAAAAAAGAAAGAATGAAGAGAGAAAAGAAAGAAAGAAAAAAGAAAAGAGAAAAGAAACGTCAGTACGTCAAGTCAGAGATTTTTTTCCGTGCACACCTAAAAACTAACTCCATTTATCACAATAAACAAATCAAATCCAGCCTGTCGGAAAGAAGTCCGTGTTCATTTATTAACGACTCGATTTCAGGCATCAGGAATAAATGAAAGTTGTTCAGCTGAAATTGCTGTGAAAATACTGGCGTTATTGTTGGGCCTGTTCTAATGTTCTAAGGTTTCTGCGTTTATGTCACTCTTTTGAAGGGTTTTACTGTTTATGAGTCAGTGAAGCGGCTGTGAGTGTTAAACAGGGCAGATGTGGTGCTGCAGTTCTCTGACCTGCACTCTGGCCTCGGTCAGCTCCGTCCTCATGGCCAGCTGTTCTCTCACGTACACATCTGGGTAGTGGGTTTTCTGGAAGACCTTCTCGAGCTCCTCGAGCTGCGCGCTCGTGAAGGTGGTCCGGTGGCGCCGCTTTTTGCTGCTGGACACGTTACTGTCCGCTTTCTCCGCCAGCTCGTCCACGTCGCTGCGCTCGCGGCTCTCGGGGGCGCGCGAGCTCTCCTCGTCCGCCTCAGGCGCGCGGTACGCTGGATCTATGCAGAGACACGAGCCTTTCACACTGAGCTGCTACACAGGCTGACCCTGACCTGAAACACCTCGCGGACGGACTGCGCAGTGGACGGATCAGTAACGGCTTATTAGTGAATAATATGCATTTGCTGATATTACTTCTCAAGGAAACAGCAGACTCGCTGAATGGCCTGTGAATGTAACCCGCTGTCATCTATGTGTTCACTGCTTTCAATAATGTACAGTTTCAACTATTGAGCGCAGACAAAAACGTCTTAGCTTTAAAAAGTAAGCAACTCTGGTTTCCTTCACTGAGATTCACACAACAATTTAACAACAACAAAAACACATTAAATGATCTGAACAGCGTTTCTGAATCGGACTTCACCAAAGAGGGAAATTAGAGGAAACACGAATCTAGTGCCGTATTTCTATTTATACTTGTTCCATTATTTTGAATACTGAAGTAAAAACTGAAGTCAGTAACAGCGTTAAATGTCAGTAAAATAAAGCACTGAGTCGACTCACTCTGCTGAATCTAAAAGCTCTAGATCAAAGCTTATGTAGTTTAAAATACACACAACTCCTGACACAACAGCACATTAGCGGACTTTTAACAGGTTTTATTCATTAAAACAAAAAAGTGTTACCCTGTGTTTATTAGCCTAATATTAATAATCAGACTGTTGCATTCACAGACAGGCTCTCAGTGAGGCCTCGTGTAATTCAGGACTCTCAGTAAAATCCCTAGTATTAAACTTCCTCAGCGCTCATCTGATTCCAGGTGAATATACGGACACTGAGAGTCATTCAGCACTGGTGTTCATTCAGCCATCACTTAAGATTTGACTGTAATACATTACAAAACATCTCACACCAAATGTAAGAGAAAGGTGACACGTTGTAAGACTGCGAAAGTGTAGACTGTATGTAGATCTTAAAGCTTATATTGATCATTTGTGTTATTGTGTCAGACAATATTTTCATAACCCATGTAGAATGGACGATCAGACTACAACCTAGAGTCCACATATACATTATAGCGTAGACCATATTAAAATCACTGACTATATGTTTATAACCTACAGTTTATATATGCATCACCTATATATGCATTATAATGTACATTATATTAAAATCACTTAGTATATGTTTATTACTTCGAGTCTATATATACATTATAATGTAGACTACATTAAAATCACTGAGTATATGTGTATAATTCGAGTCTATATATATATAATATAATGTAGGCTATATTAAAATTACTGAGTATATGTTTATAACTTCGAGTCTATATATACATTACAATGTAGACTATTAAACTCAGTGAGTAAAAGTTTATAACTTTGAGTCTATATATACTTTATAATGTGGACTATATGTCCACATTGACTGTATGTTTATAATTTATAGTTTATAATGTATGTTTTATAATTTATTTTGTATGTCTATATATAGGTTATATAATGTTTAGACTTGAAACCTACTTCGCCTGCAGTGAAATTATGAACTATATTTTTAGAACTTCTACAGACTGTAGTATGATTTCAGGTTACATGTTTTAACAGACTATTAAAACTACAGACCTAAATTTTTAACCCAGTAAACTAAAATGATAGAGTATATGTTTATAACCTATATAGACTACAGTATTAGAATGGAAACCTAGACCAGTAAAACAATAGACTATATGTTTATAATCCATGACTGTGCAGTCATAAGCAATATGTTTACAACCTGTGTAGACTTTAAAAAGATCATAGCCTGCATATTTAACCCATTTAGACCACAGTAAAATTATAGACTCTATAGAATTTATTGCCCATTAAAACTATAGTAAGATCATAGACTAGGCCTGTATGTTTATTACCTACTATAACATCATACACTATGTTTATAACCAACTTAGACTACAACAAAACCATAGACCACAGCGTGCTTATGGACTACAGTATGGTAATAGACTCTATGTGTATAACCCGTATGGACTACAGTGTTTGATAATAGACTCTATGTTTATAACCTGGACTATAAGATCACATACACATGTTAATAAGCTGTATAGACTATAGTAATATCATATGCCGTATGTTTACAGCCTGTGTAGACTACAGTAAGATCACAGACTACATATTTAAAACGTACACAGACTATAATAGGAGCGCAGACTGTATGTAATTCTACATGTATCTAATTCCGCATGGCACACTCACTGTTTTGGTTGTCACACGGCGAGGCCCTGTCCATTCTGCTGTGCTGCTCGCTGGTCTGGAGGGAGTAGGAGTGCACACACTTGGGTGAAGTCTTGTCGTAGTACTGCACGCTCTCTAAACTCTCCATCACCTGCTCCAGCGTGCTGCCCGCTCCCATGTAGTACTCACTGGCCTTAATCGCTTCACTTTTCATGGAGAACTTGTCCGTCATGTATTCCATCATCATCATCATCCGCTGGCCTCGTTTCTCTCCTCAGGCTCCTCGAAGCTCACCATAAGTGTCTGGCTGTTTCGCAATGCGTGGACCCGCTGATTTGCGCTCGCGGTTCATTTGTCTCGTCTTAAAGGGACCTTAAGGGGCTCTCTTTATACGTCCGAGCGCAGGGGGCTCCCAGCAGCCTCCCAGCTCCTGAATATGGAGAAGAGAAACTCCACCCATGGGGCAGAGGCACGCTCAGACACTCAGCAGACTCTCAGTCATCACCAGCGAGAATTAATTACACTTCCCATCACTCACTCTTCTGGATTTAAGCGTCTGGTTAAAGGCTTTAAGGCGCGCGCTGAGAATAAACTAGCCGAGCAGGTGACACTGTGACAACTTCACAAGTTTTATTATGAAAAAAATAATACAAATGTAGGAAAGAAAACAAGAATAATAACACTATTAGAAAACTACTAGAAAGCTATTACTTTTACTATTATAATAAATAACATCATCATCGTTATTATTATCATTATTTGCTCTTGTGGTTGTCATTAATATTATTATTATGATTTCAAAGCTACTTAGAGCTATTATTATTATTATTATTATTATTATACACTTATACTCGTATTTTTTTTACCATCCCAACAATCAGAAAGTATCAATAATTGGACTTTTTTGTTTATATGTTGCGTTATTAGTTGATTTTATATCCGAGTATTTATTACTTATACTAGTGTAACAAATCTATGTATTTGGGTTTATTTCACAGAGAGAGATTTATGGCTAATAATTACTCAGACCTATTTAAACTCTCATTTTACTCTCTGGTCTACACGCTAACTCAACTTTCTGAACCTCGAAATGTCTTTAAATCAATTACTTCACCATGTCAAACGAAATATGCATTCTAAACACCAACTACATCAATATAAACGATGTTATTACACGACAAAACGTATTAAAAGCTCCCCGAGTCGCTTTGTATGAGTTCGGTTTCGTTCCAAAACGCTTTCTGGACCATTTTCAAGAAATGTAAAGTTGCAGGGAGCAGGCTTTACACATACAAGAGATATCACTGCTACACTCTAAAAAGTGATGTGTTAAATAACATCATACTAACCTGTATTACCCGTTTTAACACTTTTGTGTCACACTGTTTTCTGAGTTAAAAGTAACCCAAAATGTGTTATCCATAACTGGGTGTAGAAATATTTCAACATATTTTGTGTTAAAAGTAATACACAATATGTCGTCTTCAACTGAACACACTGATGTGTCTAGTTAGAGACAAAATATGTTGTTTTTTAACACAGCTGTTTAAGAATGTATATTGTAATTACGACCTCATTCATTAGAGGAAAAATGCGTTAAATATTATACGTCAGCTTTGTATTACGCTTCTGAACGTTATATTAGACATACTACTGTTTAACGTAATTATGATGCCATGAGACTGTTGTATGCCATTTCTTAACAACATAGAGTCATTACAGGAACACATTGTGGAAGCGGGAAATAATAAAATAAAACAATGTGGCATAAACACTCCGCTGATGAGTTAAACCAGATCAGCGACCCACCATCAGCGCACAACTCACACACACAGGGAAAGAAATAGAGTGTGGATACTTTAGAAATTGGTTAGTGGTAGTCTAACAACTCTGCTCCACTTTGTAGACGAATGTGGACGACGGAGAGAGCTAATCCAGACATACTGACTATTATACAGCCTAACAATGACTTAATAACAGTGTTAGAAACCTCTGACTCCGACGGATACAGAGAGATACGCAGTCTTTAAAGGTGTGTCTGTTCGGTTTATGAAGCTCCACAGTGTAAAAGTGGGCGCCGTGGTGTCAACATTTCGGTCACGCAGAGCACCTGAACGATTGGATTTCAAACAGGAAAAGTGTCATATGAGCAGCCTTTATAAAAGAGAGAACACAACGAGAAGCTCTTTCTCATTTAGCAGCGCCTCGTACCACCTGCCAGGCTAGCCATATCCAGCCCGGTCGGCTAAGCGCTCGCTGACAGTGCGCCGGTTAGAAGGTGCCACTCCACACTCAATGAAAATAAATAGCAGCGCTCTAAAGTAGCGGGGGGCGGGGCTTACTGAGCCGCCGCGAGGGCCTCACGCTGAGGAGAAAATGCGAGAAGCTTTTGGGAGGTTCGTTCAAATTTGTGCTTCGCCATTTAGACAAAAAAGAAGAAAGTTAGTAAGTGTTACACTTCCTACAGACAATAAAGGCTTTCAGTCTGCACACAGAAAGGCTTAACATGGCTGTTTCGAGTGGTGGCGCTTAAGGTGAGTGACCTGAACTCAGCTGGGCCTTAAACACAGACCTGTCAACACAACCTACAAAACTATTATACCAATAAACCCTTCTGTAGAAGACAACTATCCACCTTCTTCCGTTTTAGAACATTAAACCATTTGTATTGGCTCTTAAAGTGTTAAAATGGATGTTAGAACATCCATTAGGTATATAATTATATAATATATCATACATGTATTAGCTATATTATTTCATTTCCAGTCAAGTACCAAGAATTCAATTTTCAGTTTTAGAAAAAAAAGGAAACATATTTAACAGAAAATTACACAAAAGCCTCCATCATAACCCTCTTCTGTCCTTACAGTTTTAAAACCAACCAGTTACAGCTGTGTCCTCCCAACAAAAGGTTCTAGGCTGACACTGACATTATGTTCCCCATTAAAGAAACACTAATATGCACACATGCAACTATCTGAACACACCTTAGCTGCTGTGCAAATTTCTCTCATCTTTGGCATCTTAAATGGCCATTTTGGCTAGAAATTAAATAAATGAATGGGTGATCTATACATATATGTTATGTTCTTAGGCATGTCTTAGGCACATAAGTCAATTGTTCAAAACCATTTATCTTAATTTTGACAAGTAAAACATTATATAGCATTAAAATAAGTACAAATAAACATGAATACAATGGACAGAAAAGCACAAGCTTGGTTCCAGATTTGGTCCTCAGCCATCACACAGGCTGAATCTCAATTGGCTCCATACTCCCTCTGTAGTGCATTATATAAGTAGTGAATTATCGTCTTCTGCAACCAAATGATACATAATATGTTGAAGAGAAAGAACCATAAGCTGTATGACCTTTCAGCTAACATTAAGTGCACTATTTGGGTGCGGAAGTCATAGTTTCATGACCTATGCAGGGCATTATATAGGGCAAATCTAGGTCTATTTGAGATTTAGCCCTAGACTTGTTAAATTCCATCACCAGTACACCTGAATTAATTTAATAAAGTGTGATTATACAAGGAGAGGTTTAACATAAACAGTTAAACAAAAAATTGACACACATAAATCTCTACTTATTGTATTCATGTTATTTGTATCTATTCTAATATTAGTGCTTTCAGAGCAAATAAACACTTACCACCCAGTTAAACAGCATTTTAAAATAGAAATTTCTCTGGTGCCCAAGACTTTTGCACAGTATACACATTAAATCCTTTTAAGTGCCAATTTGGCGAAGGCAAAATCAAATTTAAAACAGTTTTACCACTTTCTAATGCTATAGGTTAAAAACAACAGTGAATAAATACCATACTGTTTATGCTCAAATGCTGAAGAAGTGCTGGTAAAAGTAGGGTTGGAGTGAGTGTTTCATTTCGCTTTGTGCACACACTCACACAAACACACCATTTCAGTCGCTTAAGTAATGAAAATGATAATAAACCACGTAGCCTGGCTTGTGCCCCCAGCTGCACAGATCAGCACAGCCGTGTCACCACAGCCAGTGCTGAAACCGCTCCATATGGTTTTTTAAGAGGCCTATTCACTTATTGCAAAACCCCTGCTTCTTGTCAAAATGATCCATCTGTGGTAGAAAAAGCCTTAGCTGATACATATTTATTTCCCCTGTAATGTGTTCCTGGCTAATTAAATAAAATGTAGGCTATTAGAAACCCAAACAAACCTACAGACGAATTTATTGCTTTAAAGCATCTTACTTAACCCCGTGCAGCTCGGCTCACGCCAGCAATTGTAAAGATTATCTCTCTTGGTTTGGCCTTTTAGTGGCTGTGGACAACAAGTGGTATGAATTATCCTCCTGGCATCCCCCAATGACAGGGGCTAGCCCTGTCAGTTTAATCTGATGTACCGTGTTTTTTCATAAGGGCACATGGAAACATAGCGTTCACTTAAAAGCTGTACTGACATGAACTTTCAGAGCCGTAGTTGAGATAATAAACTTACAAGGGTGAACTCAAGCAAAGGTTCTTTGTTCTAGGTTATGAATAAAAAAGCATATAAAATAAACTAGTCCTCATGGTGGAATACTTAGCAGCAATATTTACAAATAACTACACTACTGTTAGTTCAGGTTGTCAATATTGTGCTGCTTAATTACATAGCAAATATCTTCTCATAGAGGGAGGGTGGATGCTTCATCATGGCAGGTAGGATGATACTGCAAATCTGTTTTAGATACCAGTTTATTAACGGACCTGGTGTTTAGCACTGCGGGTGCAGGAATCTGACACACCAGTAAAACTCTATAACTGGCTATAAAGCCAAAACAAAAGCAGAGCATATCAATACGAAGAGGAGAACATAAATAGTCTACATGCCACTCACTCATAGAGTGCCCTTCTTCTCTACTACTGGCTGTTTGTTTTTACTCTAATTATCTTATCAGCCTGCAGCCGTTGCCCAGACAGTGCCTGCTCTAACCAGTGCGTTTATGACCAGACAGCTTTCTGATGTCCAACATAAAATACACAAACATGACCACTCCGATCTGAAACTAATAAAAGACAAAACACAAGACTAATCACAATGCTAATGTTTACAGAGCAGACTTTTATATCCTCTATTTTTCTGCTTGGGGTTGGGCTTGTTTGGCAAGAAGTCAAAGAATCCAGAGTATCTTTCTCTAGATTTTTTTTATCATCGCTATTTATGCTTTCAAGAGAAACTTGAACAAGACTTTATGAATTGCAAATACTTTAATGACCCTGATCTTTGAACAATCAAACACATCAAACAAATGTACTTCAGGAATTTTCATTTCACCATTTGTTTCTTAATTAAAACACAGAGGGAAGAGGTCCAATATAATAAGGTCGACAGAGTACAAATGTTTAAACAAAGCCAAAATGAATTACAACAAGAATGAGCTGGTTCCTATTGCCTGACATTGTTTGCATATTAAGCATGTCATTTGAAAATGGTTTCCACCCTCGTCGTGGTCACATTAAATGCACTGATATTTGAGAATAACACACATCCTGGGACTGCCTGCAGATATTTGGGCTATACCTCATTCATTACTTTTAATTAATTTGCAAGGGAGGAAGCTAAATTTTAGTGAAACGGCAGCTGCAAGGAATTTCAGCAGAGATCAAATGTGCATTGTAAGGCTTGTTAAAAGCTTATGTTAAAAAAAAAAAAAAACATATCAATCACCACCGGAAAACGTGCACACCCACATGTGTAAATAAAAATACAAGGCACTGCTTTATGAAACATTGTTATCTCATGGTTATGGACAGAAAACTTTCTTTCTTTTTACTTGTTCACTTTGGCCCTCTTCTTGCCTCCGCCCCAGCCTCCACTCAGCCGCACTGGGTTGTCTCGGAACGAGATTCGCTCTTTTCGAGATGGAGCCGAGGTGACTCTTTTAGGAGACGGCACTTCTTTTTCTGTGAAAACAAAGTTGGCACTGTCAACCAAAATCACTTGGATTAGTTATCCTGCATATCTGCAATGTGGTGGCAAGAAAGTAAGTCGAAGTCTGTAGGTTCTAATGTGTTAATGTACTCTTAACATAGTCTCCAACGTTTAAAATGGGCATGCATGCCCACGGTGTCATAGCATGGATATGCAGCTCTTCATAAAGCTTAGCATCAGATGCTGTAGACTGCCTCAGAGTAGCTTCCATTTCAGTGTGTGCTTAGTGCAGATCTTTTCAAACACAGGGAACAAAGCGAGCTCTTTTCTGAGGCTGATGTGTTCCACGTGTACAGCCCACGGCCGCAGTAAGCAAGGAGTCGGCGAGACAGAACAGCGAGTGAGAACCTTCCTTACACACTGCAGGTACTGCACACATTTCAACACGCTTCCACACACTCCACACATTCAGCAAGGACACGTCCAGTCGCTGAGCTGGCTGATAGATCTGTAGGTAACTTCTCCAACCATGAGAAAACGAGCTCTGAACCTAGACTGCAGTATTTTATTTTCCTTTTCTTCAGCCCATAACAAATTCCATCAGTTGAATATTTGCATGTAATACATGTTTTCATTTTATAAAAGTTTTAGATGTATCTGATTTACACTGATTTTTAATGCAAATTGTTTATGGCTTTTAAATCACACTTGAAGCACAATGGAACAGTGAATAATTGCTTCAAAATAGACACATGCTGCTGCCAATGAGGAAGCTATTTCATAAAAAGGCCACTCACTTAACCGCTGTGACCAAACAAATTGTTTGCAGCCATTTTGTTTCCATTAGCTTTGGAAAGGGACAACAAAGAAACACTAAATATGCAAATCGGGAGATCTCCTCTGTACAAGCAAAGAAAATTGTTGTGGTGTTACCAAAAGTGTAACGGGTGTCATGTTGCATGAAGCTTATAGAGTATTTAGGGATCATCAATGTAACTGAATGTGGAGTTAGGAACACTTTTTGTTCTCATTTAGATGACCTAGTAGGCCATATTCACTCAATTCCAGCAAGCAAGGTTTTATAAAGAAAGGAAAGATTCATATTAATTTGGCTATTTAACAGCAAAAATCAAACATTTTAAACAAAAAATGTATTCAGTAATATGTATAGTCTCTGTTTTTCAAAACACGCAATGAAATTATGTAGCTCTTGCATGCTGCAATTACACTGAGTTAAACAAACAAATTATAAAATTGGCTAATGAATCTGAATGCCATAAAGGAAAATCTTCTCTGCTTATATACATATACATATTTCAATTTTCCATTGCTGATTTGATAAGCGTGGCCTCTGATGTGAAGAGAAAGAGCTCTACTCAAAACTTTTTCTGCTTTTCCAAACATTCCCACATAAACAGTGGATGTACCTGTGTGACACTCACAAGTCAGCCAGTCCACATCCTCGTGGATTTCATTTTCGAATCATCATCAGAATCTAATTTAGCCTCGTTAGGATGAACAGTGCTGTGCCTTCAGCGTCGTGGATCAGTGTGTAAAATGCGCTGAGCCCTGCTTGTGTCACTGAGTAGCATCTTTGTCAGTTTGAGGCCTGAGTTACAGCCTGTGTGACAGAGAAGCCACTCATTCAGGCTCTGAGAGACCTTTCGCTGCCCTACTTCCTGCTGAGAGAGAGAGAAGTATCTCCCTCGTTGTCGCCTCACTGACCCTGATATCTCCCTGTCTAGCTTACCCACACACACACCTCCCATTATCATGACCTACCACTCAGCAGCAAATACACAATACTGAAATGTAATAAATCATATATGTAATGCCTGTCGTCTTATCCAATGATGATCTCATAGAATTTCTGTACTGTGTCTTCATATCAGTTTTCCCTGTGCGCATGGTTATACACCCACCCACCTGCTTCCTCAATGGTGCAGTATTTATATTGGCAATTGACCCTCATGATTCAATCTCATATCCTTGTGTGAGTCTACAAGTCTACAGCTGACAAAAATTCTTTCCTACAAAAATTCTTTCCTACTTAATGTCTTTATGTAAGATTCCAGATTAATTCAGTTTTATGTTGGGATGAATTTCCTCGGTGCTATACTGAATGTATAATACTTCGTTCTTTGACCTCAACCCCATATTATATGGAAAAAAGGAAAGCTAGGAAAAAGAAAAGTCAAAAAGGAAAGCTAGCTGAAACAATTCAATGAGTGATATTCCTCTGTTTTACTGTATTACAGTTCTACACGGGAATTAATATATTCAGGAAAAAAATTTTATATAGCTTTTTTGAACCTAGAAACCACTGCTTATTCAGGTATATTTGCACCCAGCAAATACCTGAACTATGTCAACAAGATGACCACAGGCTGAAAATAACTGTCAAGTGTATGAATGTGCAGTTGTAGAAAATGTTTGCTAGGTCCATATGGTTGTTTAGGGCAAAAGTGTAATAAATAAAATACATATAGTATTGTGAAAAAAAGTAAGTGACCACCATTTCAAAACTGCCATTAAGTACAAGTTTTGCATTTTTTAGGAAATATTTTAAGAGATTCAGCTTGCTGAAGAAAGCAAAAGCCAAAGGAAAATAAGTGGTTCAAAATTTAAGTTCAAAAATTATTTAAAGATATAGAGAAAAGACATGGTAGAACATCAAAACTGTCACCATCAGATAAAAAGCGTTTTGCTTCTTTGGAGAAAATCACTCTTGCTTCAGGTCTGAAAAAATCTACAGGTGTTTCTGTCCATCATTCCAAACTATCCAAATCAAACAAATAAGCTGCCTGCATTCTCAGATCAATGGACTGACCAGCCCAGAGTCCTTACCTCAACATCACTGAATGTGTTTGGAATTACTTGGACTATGAGAAGCAGACCAATGCAACCACCTTTAAGACTGAACTTTGGAGGTGTGAAAAATATTTCTGCAGATTTCTTTAAAAAAAACTGAAAGCAAGTCTCTCAAAAAGAATGGAAGCTGTAAAGGCAAAGAGTGGACACACTAAAGTCTATAAAAATTATATTCTATTTAGTTATTGAAGCCTCTGTATGAATTTTATACTAAATATGCTTACTACTTTTTTCCTGACACTGAACAATGAATAACCTGAATTTAATTGCTGTTTTGACTAGAAATTAAATAAATGAAGGTGGTCTCTGGCTCCTGCACAGTACAATATTAGAAACACAGAAAAATATATTTAATATGGGAAATATATATGGTGCATATAGTCTCAAATATGTGGCAAAATGTAATGTAAACGTAATGTAAAAGTAATGTAATGGAAATGTAATGTAAAAGTCCATTTGTTCATTTAAACATATTTAGAGTTCCTTTTCCTCATGAAAATCCATCGGAAATATTTATTTGACAAACTGGGAAATGTTGTCCATTTGTTGTCCATTTGAGCTAACTGAGTTTGTATTGTTTGCAGTTTGATTTGCATGAGACGGCTGCTGGATGGTTATTATTCTGCTAGTAGTGTCGGGGACCTACTTGCATGTCCAACTGAGTGTCTGCGGACGTGAGCATGTTGGTTACAAAGTGGAGAGAAGCCAGTGGCGTCAGACCACAACCTCGCAGCTGAATCTGGACTTTCTCTGTACCTTGCTCCAGCCTGAGGAAAGACCAATAAACAACACATACACACACTTGTAAAACAACCATCACCTCAAAAAAGCTGCTTAGTACATTTCTTTATGACATGCAACACATATTTTATATTGATCTGAAGTAATATGACTTTCAAAAATTAAACTGAATAAATATCCTTACCACAAGCTGAACCCTCCCACCATTCAGAATATCAGGATCAATCTCCGGCAGGAAGCGATCACTATAAAAGTGTAGGTTAAAATTAATCATTAATCAAAATTAATAAAGTTAATCATATTACATACCATCAATATGCCTATCACTAACGTCTTTTTTATTTTACACTATTTCAAAACACCACCTGCTTTTTACTTTGTGTGCAAATTTAATGATAAATGGACCAACAGATGGTCCAAAATACTTGTTACATTAATGTACATTACATTTAAGAACATTTTTCATTTTCCCATAAAGTTACTATTGTGGGTTTGTTATGATAGTGATGATATGCAAAAATGAAGTTATACCTAATTAGGTTAAAGGGTGACAGACTCACCTTGTAGAAGAGTCAGAGCTTCTCTGGGTCTGTTCGGCTTGTGTGTGGAGCCACTGGTACGTTCTGTGCTGCTGCAGTCGTCCTGGCCCTCCACTCAATGCGTTCTCAACACTTACTTCTGCTCGGCCAGCTACGCTTGACATCAAAAATCAAACAAAGTGTCCAGTGAGATTATTTGTTTTTGTCATGCTCACTGTGGGACCACTGCCATGATGGAGTCACTGAGTATTTCAAGGAGCTTTCAAAAGAAAAGGAAAAATGAAATATATAACACATTTTGGATGCAGAGCCACTTGATAACAAATACAAATGAAAGTGGAAAATAAAGTTTTTATTTGAACCGGAAAAAAGCTGAATGTTTGACAAGCAGTTAAAGTTGCAGAGTTTACCGAGCTGTGAGAGATCAGCGCACACAGCATGGGCTGTTTACATTTCAGCTTAGGAGGCCATTTGTTTTGGACGGCTTAGAGGGGTATTACTATAATGCTCCAGCAGTGGGTCACTGAGGCAAATGAAGAGGTTTGCTTTCAGTAGGTTTTGTGGTCTCTTCTTAAACCTACTGAGCTGTGATATGAACTTAGACTGAACATTCAGAGATTAAGTAGGCACTTGATTTACAGCCAGTGTCGAGACGTGCCACCAGAAAGTCGTAATTCAAAGCAAACATGAGCACTCAGCAGAGAGCAGTGCAGGCGAGGAGGAGTGTGAATCGATAACGACTTCTGACAGCCAAGTGCTGGAACTAATGAGCCATTTATTTAAGTCATTCTCATGGTTTTGCCAAGATGTAAAGGACAGACAAAGTTTATGGGTTACAGTTGTCATGGGTTAATTGAAAATCCACTAAAAATGTCAAGCGATTAACTCCTCACATGCAGTTCAAATGTTAGAGATAGGCAGCACTTGGTGGTGTTGAAAAGTAGCAAAACATCCAGTGTGGACAGAATTGGACTAGAAACATTGAAACAAAGGTCAATAGTTATTTAATATACTTTAGATTATTAAACAGACAAAACTTGTTATTTGAATATTGTAAGTCAAAAGCAAAGTGAGCTTTGAAAACAATACAGTGCATGAAATATGATGTTATAGTTTCATATTTATTTGTTCAACTTGCGTGTAGTCTTACTGTTTAAGACGACATTTTTAATAGTGCAGTATTGTGTCAATAGAGTGGAAATATTACAAGGATATGAAGGCATGAGTCCAGTTAATCTACACTGCAGGTGAAAAAATACGTTAATCCATCTCAGGAATATTCTTTTTTTTTTTACTTAAAATTCATCAACTTCTAAAGATTTTTCAAGATTTTTGAGGTATTTTAGTGATTACATTTCAAGGTAAAGTGTAGTTATGGTGGACTGGAGCAGCCAAAAATAGTGTGAACAGGTTTTTTAATTAATGTTTTACATTATTTATTCTAAACATGCACATAGGTTGTTATGAAGGACACTTATGTTTCAAATGTATTTCACCTTTACTAAATGTAATATCAGTGGGACACAAATGGCACTTCAATCGTGGAATCACCCTTGCATGTCTAGAATGTAAGATCCCAGAAGTGTCCAGCAGGATGCGGACCTCCTCTAGTCCCCATGTGGCCGCTGTATACCCCACCCTCAGGACGTTGGGGGGGCCAGGAGTCACGGCTATTAAGGGGGGCTCTTAAGCACATTAAGTGATATGGAACTGGCTATGGCAGCAGTGGTAGGAGACATGTCACCATATCAGAGAATCAGCTCTTTCAGGCAGTGAGCTGCCAGGCTGAGTCTGTACTGCTGGGGGTGGGTCAGGGGGAGCAGGTCATGACCTCCTCACAGTAACCCCTCAAAGAGTAGTGGGCAGGTATCTTAGACAACCCTGTCCACCCAAGAACAATGACAAGGTCAAACATAGTTTACTCTGACAAACTTACAAGCGAATCAAAACTAATGGAAAAAAGGGGGGAAAATGCAGACTCAATATTGTTATTATCTTTTTCTAATAAGTTTTATTTTTCCAGTTACTTGGGCAATAAAAGCAAATGAAAAAGATCCTCATATTTTGAGGGAGGACAAAAATAAGTAATTTCATAACTAAATAATCATTTACCTTGTTGGGTTATATGCTTGATCAGATAGAATAGTTTAAACTGACAGGAGAGATCTGGATTACATGACAGTGAATGTTCTTGCCCCGCATGATGGCTAGGTTTTAAGGCATTTCTGCAACTGACTCATTAAATTAGAATTTAGTCCTCCAGATGCCAGATCTATTTGACCACAGTGAAGCCACAGGTCAGCAAAAGTCGCACGAGCGCGCACACACAAACACAGCAAACAAGAACTGGCCTCTTGTCTAGCAAATATGTAAGAATCTGCATATGTGTGTGCATATGTGAGAGTGCAAGCAAGTGGGTGGGTGTGTGTGTGACATACCCATGGGGCTTTGAGTGTTTGGGAGTTCTCTTGGCAGACTCAAAGGAGGAGGTCAGGTCTTTTATCGTGAGGTTCTGTCTCCTACTTTCTTTTGCCCTAGGTCAAGCCTTCACCTCCAGAGAGCAGACCACAGGCGGTCAACCAGCGGTCAACATACACACAGGCGCGCACACACACACCCCTGCATACTATGCAAATACTATGGAGGAGCACAAAACACTGATCACCCTTGCAGATCTATCACAACTATCAAAGGATCAATGTGAAACAAAGCAAAATTTAAAAAAAACACTGAATCTATAGCAGATGATTCAAACTCTACAGAAGTGTGAGAGAATGAATTACATAGCATTTTAAATGCTGACAAAGTAATGCAAAGTACAGCTGAACACACATCACATGAGTTTAATTGTGAACCTTATCAGTGTATATTTATAGAATTGGGATGAACATTCCCTATGTACACTGCTGTGCAGAAGTCAGAGACCACCCTGTTTCTATTTAATTTACAGTCAAAACTGCCAATTAAATACAAGGTATTCATTTTCAGGGTCAGGAAAAAAACAGGCAATATACATTTAACAGAAAATTGGACAGAAACCCCAACAACTAAATATATTTTTTTTTTCAGTATTTAGTGAAAAAAAGCTTCCATTCTTTTCAGGAGACTTGCTTTCAGATTCTCATAGAAATCTGCAGGGGTATTTTTCCACACTTCCAAAGTCCAGTTTTACAAGTTGGTTGCATTTTCAGGTTCTCATGATCCAAGTAGGGTCATTAAATGATGTGCAGCTTATTTGTTTGATTTGCAAATTTTCTTCTTTTTGTCTATTTCCTTTTCTCAGTAACAGCTTAACAGCTACACATCCTTTCACTTCCCACAGTGTTGAGTTGTCGTCTTACAGTTTCTCAGATCTAAACCAAGCGTCAAGCTTGATTTTCTCCTATTTCTCAAAGACGAAAGCTTTAAAGCACTGTTTATCTGATGGTCTGCCAGGTCTTGCACAGTTGTTATGAGTCTCGTTTTCTCTATATCTTTTATCAATTTTTTGTACTCCAGTTTTGGAAACTCCTGTTTTCTCACTTATTTTCTTTCCCCTTCCTTATGCAAGTGAATTATCTTATATCTAATCTTTTAAGAAAGGTTTTTTGAAAAATAACTTGTCCTAAGTGGCTGTTTTGACCAGACATTAAACAGATGAAGGATGGTCTCTGAATTTTGCTCAGCACTATCTGTATTAAAATGCAATCTGAATGTACACCTGCTTTCATTTCCACTATTGATTCACTTGACTATTCTAGGTTTTGTTATTTATGTGAGTTACTCAGTACTGGACATGATCTCACTGAATACTTATCATGCTTATCTATAACAGCATGAACAGCACACTAATCATGTTATGTATGGAAAGGAAACACAGGAAACAAAGCCAAGGTGTATGCAGCCAAATAAGGCTTGACACACTTTAAATAACTGAAAAACAATAAATAAAAACCTAAAAAACTCACAATATGTAGCACACATTACCTTACATAGGCAAGTGAGTTGAAATGCTCCATTGGAGTGATACTGATGCAATCAATCATCACCAAACTGTAAAACTTAGACGGGGTTACTTACATTTGTTATAGAAAATGACAAAAAAATGTATTTGCCCTTATCTAGGCATAACTTAGTGTTTTTAAGTACTACATACACAAGATATTTTAGAGCAGCTCAGAGGCATTAAGGTTTAACCACAAAATGCCAAAGAATTACACACTGTTCATAGGCAATAACTCATCTAAACAGATCTCAGGTCCTCACTATAACTCCATTAAGTGCTTAGGGGTGAATTATTTTGGGATCCTCTCTTCTACACCAAAAGTGTGGAGATGAGCAGATGAAGACAAAATGTGGTTACTAACTAGTTACATTTACTCTCTTTCTTTTATGCTGTTACATTTTAGTCACGAATATTTAGTTACAAATTATGTTTTTTGTTTAATTTCATTCTGTTACATTAGTGACAGAAATCTGTGCTTTCTGATTGGTGATACCTGAGTCTTCTACCCAGTTCTGATGAAGACACAGGAGGTCAGAATATTGGGCACAGGATTTATGTGCATCCCCTGAGCACATGTGCACAAAACGACAGCGTTTCACTGGCTGTGTAAATCAAATGCCATGGACTAGTAAAACTAGTAGAAGTGAAGGACGCACTCTGGTTAAAGGCAGCTCCCTGGCTGATGTCAGCTCCTGGAGGGCCATATACAGGTATGCACAAATCTATCAAATACAGTCATAAGGTCATGTTTGGCTCAAATTCCAGGTTTTGTTTTTTTTTTTTAAGTGAAAATAAGTGCACATCCTCTATAGACAACACACTTCTACACATTTTTATGCAAACTTTCTGTTTATTTGCTGACTTTTGCAAAAGTTTTATGGTACATTTTATGGCACAGTTTTATTTTTTCCAATATGTTAAACTCAGGAAATAAATAAGAACAGTGCAGTAAAATGAAGAAAAAATGCCATGTTCCAAGTTTGTTCCCTGTAGAGGATGTGTACTTTTCAGTTAGAAAACATGTAATTTAACCAGAGATTTTCTAACTTTTGCATATGTCTGTAGCTTCTACTGAGTTACAACTAATGTGTCAAGTGTGATCTACATCAATGTATTTATTCATTTGGACTTCATTCTTTTCCAAAAAACAGCCCACACTTCAGACTGGGGAGGATAAATAGTATGAAATAGTCTCTCAAATTTCTTTTTTACAAGGCATATAATATGTTAAATGTCATCTACATTAATAACAATGAATACTGGATGAATACCAACCATCAAGACACTAAACTCTGATCTGTTACATGAGTCAAATCCGTTTTCAGTTGGACATAAACTACTTTCCTAAATAATTCAGTAGGAGAGGATTTAACAGCTTATCACATTTCTTTACTACAATGCAGATAATATGTTAAATGTGATCTACTTAAAAAAACAGTGAATACTGAAGTTTTCTAGTGCTAAACTCTGATATATTTCTAGGGTCGTATTCACTCTTTCTGACAGAGGAATATCTCCAAGAACTGCACTGGTACACGGCAGCTTAAGTGCTCTTTCACTAGATGCTGTGCTTTGGAGTGTACGGTCAGTGCACGCGTCCAGCTTTCCTCCAGTCCTGACCTGTGGAAGGCACCAGTGCCCCCCCCCAGGGACACCCTCATGCCTCGGGCCACAAGCTGCCCGCCGCTCCCCTGCACTCCCCCGACAGGGGTTTGCATTTCAGCCCCCCGCTCCAAGCCCCCTTCTGGAGGTGATTAGCCCCCTGAAGCCGTGACAGATTCTTTCCGAGATATCCGACTCGCTCGTGTTTATTTTATCCAGGCTCTCTTTTGTGGATGTGCTGGACATGAAGTAACCCACTTGAAAATGGGGATCAGCTTACATACGCCAGGGGATCGGTGGAGGAGTCGCAACAACAAAAAAAAAAAAAAGAAAAAGAAAAGAAGGAAAAAAGGAAGGAAGGAAAGAAAGCAACCTTTTTCATAAAAAGAGGAAAGGTTTTGCTTTTACTTATATTGACTTTTACTAGTACGGAAAGGATTCTGGAGTGAGCTAAAAAGAGAGAGAGAGACAGAGAGAGAGAGAAAGAGTGAGAGAGAGAGAGAGAGAGAGAGACAGAGAGAGAGAGAAGGAGAATGACCGAAAATCAGAAAGAGAAACAGAGTGAGGCAGAAGAAAAGGAATGACTTTCCTATCTTTATCTGTGCATCTATTTCTCTTGCCACTCCTTTCAAATCATCCCTCCAAATCTCCATCATGTCTAACGACCAGCACCCCCAGCAGAAGGGGAACTTCGTCTCTGGTGGAAGGACACTGGGCTACAGATATATCTCTCTCTGAGGGGTCTGGAACCCCTCAGTGGTCTACCTCCTCTGCACTTAACTCAATTTCACACTTCAGGTTAGCTACAAAGTCCTCTTGAAATACAATCATCTTGTTTATTCTCCATCATCCCAAACAACTTAATGGCTGGCTATTTACAACCGCGTCATATGCCTTCAATTTGATCAAGTGATGGGTGCGTTTCTGTGTATTACACGCAAGGTAGCACAGGTTTCCCGGTGTAAGCCCCCCTAGAAACAAACAGATCTAACTGAAAACACTTTCCTCAAAAATGCTAACAATGCCAAAAACAGATCAAGAATTAAGCCAGTAAGGACCAGTCAGTGAGAAGCTCAGTAATTAACATTAGCATAGCAATTAGCATTAGCATAGCAATTAGCTCAGTCATCATTTTTCTTCAAATGTTCAAAATATTGTGAGAGTATTGAATTGTGAACCCTGTATCAAGAGTTGAATCAAATTATGGGCTAAGTGTATCATTATAACCCTATTTATGTTATTTAAGCTTAGACAATAATGTAAATTTAGACAATGATTACTGTTTAAAACAGTTTACATAAAATGAACATTGTTATTACAATATGTAGGCGACAGAATGTGCCGTGAAGTCCTCTACAAAGAGATCGATTCAAGGCAATGAATTTCATTATTTTAGTGTGAATTTCTACAAATGGCGTTGGCATTCTTACAGGGACTTTCCTTTAAGCTTCTGTAGTTTTGCTGTATTAAGTGTATCAAGCGAGTTGTCACGTTCAAATGGTATCAAACCTGGTATGGTATCAAGTTCTTGAATGTCGTACCTCCTCTTGATATTCAAAATGAAGACTGATCCCAAATCACCTGTCTATGTCTATGTCCCTCAAAGAATCCACAAAATAGTTCCATGTGGTTGACTACTTTTCCATTGTTTGTCTGCTGCTACTCAAACTGAATTAATGATAAATGATCTAATAAAGCTGAAAGACTATGAAAAAATAATACCATTTTGAACAATACAAACTTCACACTTCAGTCGCTTTTTATTGTTAACCAAATAAAGAATAAGCCCTCAGCAGTTTGATTTCTGTTCTGAATGTGTGCGCACTTTGGCACAAAAGCTATCACAGTGCATCCAGCAATAAAGGCAGGATCACACTTCTTTTATGTAGTGATAGAAAACATGGCAGCATGCAGAGAGCTCCATGCTGATACATTTTACTATGGCTAATGTAGATATGAGCTGCAGCTTAAAAGTGACATTGCCAAATCTCTAAATGTATTATCTGTGACTTGATAGGTAAGATGGTAAGACTTCATGGTAAAGTTTTTTGTGACTTGTCATGGTGTCAGTCCTACCTTTAATGTCATCTTTGCATTCAGGTTGGGGTCTTTTCCGGATATTTATTGGCACGGGCTGCTTACTGTTGTTCCTGAACAAGGCCAGACGCACTGCTGGGTCTGCAGCACAAGAACACAAAGAGGAACACAGCTAGAGTGAGCTTACATGGAGCCCAGCATGGCCCCATGCCCTGGAACGCACAGACATACATGGACACAAACCGCACCTTCACTTTGCATTAGGACACCATGCAGCTTCAGCAGGAGCAGAGGCTTTGTGCGCTCCACACAGGCCCTCATTTCATGAGCCTATGATTGGATTTGTGGCATTAAGAGTCACGCTCTCCTGACCCTGATCAAAGCCAGCCCTAGGACAGGCCTCTGGGCCTGAGACCCAGGCTTCAACTACTGTCTCTGGGGTTCCTCTCACGCTCACAGCCCCATTAGGCAACCTCAGGACCGGAGACTTTCCAACAGCTCCTGATAATAAAAAACGGGCCTGGGCACTCAGAGGGGAGCTTGGGACACAGTGCAGTATGGAATAGCCACTTCTTGTGAGTGCTCTTAAGTTCAGGAGAATCGAACATGACGGGGAACAGGGAGACCAGAGGGGAGCTGCTTGCTGTTACTGCACATTAAGCTGCACCAAGAGGAAAGGCTCCGTGCTAGCGTGGCACGACTGCTGACCAGAGACATAGAAAGAAAAACAATAACAAACCCTTAGAGACAGACACTGTTTTGGGAAGTGGTCTTTTTTCCATTAAAGCTCTCTTTCCTAGTGCAAACTGGTGCTCCAGATGATCTCTGGAGGTATTTCCAAAGGAGCTGCCACAGGGGAAAATTTAGGTAAACATGAGCATATACGGTGTCCTTCACCTTACTATCCTGCAGTTCCTTCTCACGTTATTACAGATGTCCATAAGGATGAGTAAGGCTCAGTCTTTACTGAAATGCATAGTTCTAAAAGTATGGCTACAAATACAAAGACAAGTGAGACAGAGAAAAAGAAAAGTGAGTGCGAGAAAAAGCAATTTCCAATAAGGAAAATCTGAATAAGCACTGCAAATTGTATTACACTACACAGACATTCTTCTCTTTTGCATATTTCCATTCCGTCAAGAATCGTCCTGGAGCAATATAAAGTCCATTATGGTGATAGAATGAGTAAAAGTAAAACCATGCTAACTAAACACAAAAAACCTCCATTACACTTACCCAATAATTTTTTCTGCTCCTGATTCCTGGCTTTCATTTTCTTGGCTCTTTTTAGCATAAGGAGGGCAGTGGAGCCACAGCTGATGCCCCTGAGAGAAAAAGATGGCAGCACCAGTAACTAAGTAACACACATCAATAAGGGTGAAATGTGATGATATTTATTGTGATAAACTGCCATACTACAGCACAATATGCTGTTCTGAACATACTGTAGGATATGTTTTGTCTCGTTACAGAGAGAGATTAAATAGTCCTGTTTAACTGGATTTAGTCCAGAACAGTATGTGAATGGTTGAATAAAATCATTATATTCATAGTTTTTGATAGGACTGGAGGATTGTGTCTGTTCCAACTTATCAAACCTCAGAAAAATTTAATATTGTGATGAGTATTTTGTATCATGTACTCTACACTTAAATATCTGCAGTAAGACTTTTTCTGTTGCACAGAATCTTTGGTTCTAGACAACATTAGTTCAGTGATAAAGAACTGAATCATACCATTCTTCAAGAATTTTCTCTGATCTTTCTGACAAAGCACCACGTCCTCGCGTTGATGGTGGAGATTGCATTCTATAAAAAAAAACACAGACTACATAATAAATAACTTGTCAATGTTTAGAAGACATTTGGCAACCAACTGCTGAATCAGTACCAGTACAAATTTTACCTGATGTCCGGGTCGGGACTCTGTTCTGATGCTACTGCTACCTCACTGCCGGTCCAGGCTTGTTTGGGTTTCCATGGCAACACAGGTGTACTCAGCTCAGGCAGAAGAAGACGAGGCTAAAATGCCAACAAAAAATCATAAAACAAATCCTTAAAGAAATACTTCAGTGAAAAATCAAAATTCATGCAATTTTCCACTTAGCCTAGATGTAGTCGATCAGCCAAGATATGTTAGTCCAAAATTTGCTTCTGCAGTTTAGTGCTGGAGCTACAAACATTACATTGTTAACAAAATCTAGAACGCTATAGTCTTAGAAATAGCTTTGTGAATACCAACCCTGGTGTTAACTAAAATTGTTGCCAGGTAAAGTTTAGTTCATCTTTATAACTGACAGTAAGTCATACTGTGTCCTAAATCGGGCTGGGCACTATGACAATATATATTATCATCATAAATTCCCTCACAATATGCTTTTCCGAGCATATCATGGTTATCTTCTGTACTTAATCACTTCCCGCCTATATGTTTGATTACAAAGAGAGCACAATTAGTCCTATTTAATTGGTGGAGTATGGTATGTGAAATGCTCAATACCAATAAATATCAATCATTGCATTAATTATTTTTGACACTTTTTTAAATTTTGTATTACTTTGTCTCCATTTGTAACAATTCTGGATATAATGAGTTTTTGAAAATAGTAACAGCTGATGTATAATGGAAAAACCCATTTTTTATTTCTTTCCTAAAGTTGGTATTAATCATAATATTACACTGATATTTCTAAGAATGAGGAAATTCTTAAAAGTGGTCTATAATGCGTTTTGGAACAAAATCCTTCAAATGTTCTGACATATTGTGTATCGTGAAAACATCTTGAAGTATCGTGATATTACATTTTTCCATACTGCCCACTTTTAGTCCAAAAACACTTTAGTATGAAAACAAGTCTGCACAACCTTAATGAAGACCTGGATGTGGTTTGAGCACGTTGAGAGAAGTTTTGGTGATGTATTTTTATGGAAATGATATTGCTATTTGGGTGACTATGGACATCAAATTTTTGTTGCAACATTAGCCTAAAGAAGCAAAATCGACACTCCGGACATGTCTAGGCTGACCGACCAGAGTAAGTGGAAAATTGATTTTTCATGAAACTATACCTTAAAAGTCCCACACTGTAATTCTATGCTGTACTGATTTACACTTTGAAATAAAAGGAAAGCACAGCTTGAGAACAAGCAGTCAAGATATGTCAAGGATGTTTTTTGCAATGTTATTATACTCTCAAATCAAAAGGTGTTGAAAAGTGAAATCATCCTGACAATGAGCCTGCACTGCTCAAATAGCCAGTTAAAGCCCTTCTTCATGCACCAGTTTTATTGATCTTGGTCTTTGTTTCTCAGGATTAAAGTTCTTTCTGCAGTTACTCTATCACTGTTCCAGCAGCTGCACTGCATCATAGCCTAGCTACCGTGATGCAGACAGTCCAGCTCGAGGCCCCCTCAGAAAAGGCCTGCTCTGAAAAATGACATCTGCTGATTCTAAGGAAGTTTGCGGCCTAGAAAGTAATTGTGTTTTTGGAGGTAATAAATCCAATGATAAATTACTCATAAAGGCTCATATTGGGCCGGCCCACAGACAGTGGGAGGGCTTTTCTGGCTGTTACCTTTGGCAGGAGCAGCTGTTCCAAATATGGTGGCAATCCGGACAACGAGGCATCGGAATGCAGAGCTATCCAGTCACTCTCCATCGCCTCCTATTCAACCCCCAGAACATATGCACATCTTGAGAGAGCTTAAATAGAACCTCATCCCTCTGAAAATTAGCCAACATCTCAAGATTTGTACTGTTGATGAAGTGCATCCTGTTGTTGTGGTTATTTGCTTCAAAGCAAGAGGCAAATCACATTAGCCTAAAAGCACTGAACTATCATTGATGTGTTCTCTGAGTGCACACAAACATTCAAGCCCTTGATGACATGTTCACTTCAAAACAGGAAATGAGTAGTTGAAGACTGTTACATTTGCATTTACTAAATGAAAACTTCAAAGTATGAAATGAAGTTTCATAAAACTAGACACTCAGACACTCACTAAAAAATAACACTTCAAAAAGTGAACATACCAATATTGACATCTGCATTTTTATCATATATATTGTGAATCACTTGTTACTCCATATCCATGTCTCTTACTATGTGACTTGGGTTAAAGCTAAGCAAACCAAAAGCATTCAGGCAGAAAACTGTGGGTGACGAGAGTCAGAGACTAGCCAAGCTTTGGTCTCCGCTCATTGATTACTACACTGTGTCTAAAGCTAATCGCTGGTGACAACTTCCCACCTCCCTGCTAAGACTGCAAGTATCAAGGCTGTCAGCACAGCAGTGCAGGCTGTGTAGTGATTTCACAGCAATGACAGGAGCACCATGCGTCCGCTCCTACCTCATCAAAAATGAATTCGTCCACGTCCACCTCCTCAAAGGCCTCGTCCCCCTCTGAGATCTGGGCGAGAGCGAGAGCACGAGCCAGTCTTCTTCGTAGTGCGTAGCCCCTCCACACTGCCTGTGGGGGCAAACGCATGAGACTATGAATCACCCACAAACGTAAATATTGTGTGTTATCCCATTAGGAAGATAAAACATGTTAACCTCTGTTTAATTGCCTCGTGGTCTGCTGTTTGAACTCTCTGTGACTTAGGCGCTATAAGACAAATGGAACACCAGGATGCCCTTAAATCTCCATATTCCCTATGGGTGTGGGGAGGGCTTCACAACATCACAGATCAGAATTCAAGTGCTCCCACCTCGGTGAAACATTGGAATTCGATTAATCTTGTTTTTTTCCCTCTCTGTCAAAGCCTTGGGGACTCATCAACCACAAGTAAGGGAGAGAAAACGTCTCTCAGAAGTTATGTGTGAAAAGAATGGCCAGTTTTCAAACGTACTGTCTGCCTATTCAAAACAAGCATGTGGCAGTAATAGTGCAATGAAGATTATATAATTTTATTCACAATTTTTATTACCTTCATAAAATCCAGAATGAAAAAATATTGACAGAAGCTTATTATTGTGGTGCAAATTCTAACTGATCAGGCAGTGAAATAAAGGGATGCTGTTTGGAGCTTGTCCTATAAAAGTAGCTCAAAAAAGTAAATCTTACTTGAATGACAGTGGCAGCGTAGTCTTTATTTAGAGGCTTGAGACTCTTTTCATTAGATTTCGCTCTCTGCTGAGGACTCCATCTCCCGTTAGCCTTTGCAGGTGGCTCTGACGGGCCCGTTCGTCTGCTCTGTCTGTGTTTCCGCCAAAAGCGTTGGATCACAATGGCTGCCATGCTGCATGATAGCACAGAAAGCAATTACACATGATTGAGTGCTGAGGTTATGGGTGAATAAATGTACACCTACTTGCTACCCAGTGACCGTTTTAACTGGGTGGCCTCTGACGTTTGCATCATACTAAAAATCACTTTGTATAAAAGCTTACATATCAAATAACAAAATAAAAAATTTGTCACTCATACGTTTTCAGGTCCATCCTGGCTGCCTTGATGGTGTGTCTGCTATACCCTGATTGTTCTTCTCTGAATTTCTTGAGTGGATTTATGCAGCCAACGACACAATCAGCTGGCAGGTCAGCAGCTTGATGCTCAGGGTGGCTTTTGTGGATACCAGTCAGGTGTGCTCTTCGCTGGCTCTGGGTCTCCTGCTCTCCTGGGTGCAGCTGGGGACTCTCATACTTTGTTAGGTCCCCATCAGATACATCATGCAGGCAGCTGGAGGCACCAGGTTCTTGAGCGGCTGTCTCAGAGACACTGCTGTCGCCATACTCATGAGCGTAACGCTGCTCTTCAGCCAATCGGAACAGCTCTGTACCATGGTTTCTGGCCAGGAGCTGAGCATCCAGCATAGAGGGAGCCAAGCTATGCAATACACAACACACACACAGAACATCCCGTAGGTGCCATTTATAAGCCAACTTTCAGCATAAAGAAGAGCAAAAATTAATAGTAAAAAACACTCAAGCATCACTTAATGAAAGAATCAAAATGTGAGCTAAAAATGATGTAACCTGTTCATTTTTGTAAAGTTGCTTTTCATAATCTGTTATTACTTATGTACAAGAAGTTATGAAGGCAGGTTTTATTTATTTACATGCTTATAAAGCTTTTGTAAATGTATTTATAACTGTTAGTTTTTGAGAAAGAAATATATAGGGACACAAAAATGTCATAGATGCCTTTCAATGTTCAAAAAACTGAAAGAAAGATTCACAATATTGAATACAATGAGAAGAAAGCTGTTTGGCAAATTATTGCATATGTGAACCATCTTAAGGCTGGCTTTACACTATGAAATTTTCACACAATTTTAGTTGCTTGAAACCTGCAAGAACCTAAACTGCACTGGAACTGCATAAAGTAAAACACCTTGCAACTCATGTGAAACTCAGAAGCAACAGTTTCAAGAGTCTCAATAAGTTTCATGAAACAGCCAATAGAAACGTAGATGAGGCATTGCGTGATCATGTCAAACAACACCACGTCAAATGACTGATTACAAACTGCATTGGCTTGATGGACAAGAAAATGAAAGAGAAGACAGTCTTTCAGAAACTTGACACTCCTAACTGACACAATGCAATGTCAGTAAACTGAGGGATGACAAAAAACAAATGAGAGTTACTTGAAGATAGCGTTGCTGTTCACTTGATTTGATTGTTATTAACTGCTGTGTGTAACCATCAAATTGCGGGGATATTAGGGTGCAGGCAGCTCAACTAGTTGCATGAAAGTTTCACTTTGTAAAGCCAGCCTAAGTCATCTCATCACTAAGCTGGAAATTTTGTAATGTCTTGCATTTGAAAGCAAAAACTTGTTTTCCTAATTTCTGAAAGAGTTGTGTGTGTAATTTACTCAGTACAATTAAAATGATCTACAGAATGGCACAAAAAATCTAAATTTTGCTTAAAAAAAGAGAATGATTCTGGCCATATGCTTTAAGAAGTTGCACTCCGCAATGTCACTCTGTCATATAATGAGGCTTTTCATCATGGGGATTAAGTGTGTACAAAGGCATCTCAATCTCATGCTAATTATTCTATTAGCAACGGCTGCTTCTCCCCCTCCTAATCCTGCCCTCTGAGCTCTTCACTACTGTTGCCCTCAGTAACCAGCTCTGACCACACAGAACCCCAGCTATTCTGATTCTTAGACAGGGGTCAGAAGCATCCAGACACACGCACATATACAGCTGCCTTCAAACACCCTAGTGAAGCACAGGGTCATAGAGAAAAAGAATAAAATGAAAGGAAACATAATTACTGCTAGAAATAACGAAATTCCATCATTAAACAAATTAACGTCAGATTGATTTGATTGTCTGGTGTGGACTTGTAGAAAGCAAAACACTGGTCTAACTAGTAGAATGTATGCCAAGGCACATAAAAACAAGCACTGACCTTACACAGGCCCTCTGCTTACTGACAATTAAAACATCCTCATAAAAGCTATTTCAAAAAATCAGAAAGTACTTTCCATTTATTATTGCGAGGCTACTGTGTAAACATTAAGATGTGCAGAGCTAAGTTACAAGGGATATAACTGTGACTCAGATTGAGTAATTTGTTGCTGATAGCAGTCTCTGTAGAGTTCAGCTGGTCAACCCAGTGCAGCTACGTCACCCAGCCAGACAGCAGACTCTTCACCTTCCCCAAAGCTGGGGATTGACACCAGGTCAGGTCAGGCTGTGGCAGTCCCTATGGGGACCCAAAAGAAGCTTTGTGCAGAGTGCATAGCGGAAGGGTTAGAGGGCTATCGCTAGCGCTCCCAGCTATAAGAGACCTCTGCCTGATCCATAGCGTACACAGGCCCCTGTCTCTTGTCCCTTAAGAAACATCACTGCACAGGCTCGACCAGCCCCGTTTTATATACACTGGCCAGTGACCACTGACCTATCCGTATGTGGGAAGTATGAGGAGGCTTAGTGTTGAAAAGTGAAAACCATGCGTCATGTCAGTGCTTGCTGAGGCGTGCGCATACAGAACAATATGGGCATGCTTGATTAGCACTCGCACTAACACAAACAAATTGGTCCTAATCGTTCTCTTGATCACAACAATTTGCTTACAAATAATGAACAGCTGCGTTCATCTTTCTCCTTCTCTGCTGTGTTCAAACAAAGCTCTCTGCGCACTCCCGCACTTTGCTATCAGATCTGAATTTGATTCGCTCCCCATTTAAAAAAACATTTGAATTAGTTGAGTTGTATACATATTATGCTTGTGTTGATGTTAAAGAGGGAATTCTACCGATTTTTCAAAATTTCTGCTTTATTAAATGGCTAAGATGTAAGCAAAGTCATTCAGAGTGGTTTGGTATGAAATGCTCCCTTTTAGAAAAATGTTCAGAGTCAGAATTGTTCACAGAGGTGGTGATAGGAACCAGATGTCTACCTCTAAAAGCTCCCTCACATAAAGTTATTAAACGAAATGGTTATGAATATTCTGCCGGAAGTCTGAGACACTGTTTCACAATAGTTTTGAGAAGGTTTTGGCTTAAATTTTATTATTTTTTTAGCTCTATTCACAGCAGAGAGGTACATACAGGACATTGTAAGACAAAATATTTATAAATATATATTTTTTAAGATTTACTACTATTTTACCAGTGTAGAGAAATCCAAGTCGGTATGTTTATCTACAATGAACCATCTCACATATTCACATCTCAATGACCGAAATATGCAGAAGTTCTGAAAACTTGGTGGAGCTCTTTCATTTAGTGAAGGTCTGTTCTCTGGTTGGTTAAGACCATAAATCTCTCTATAACTCCTCATAACATACAAGGCACATCTTGTCTGTCTCTGATTTAAAGTCATGTCAAGGAACAGAATAGAGGTTTGAGTATTACCAGTTGTCCAAATGTAAAATATTCAAAAGGTATGGTGGGCTCAAACAGTTGGGAGTTGGGTAGAGGTAGGCTTTCTTGTGATAAATTTTGTTATTATGATCGACTGAGCATATCATGGATATTGTCCATACCTAAAGAACACTGTCCAACTGCATGCTTCATTAAAAAACAGCATAATTAATCCTGTTTAATTGGATTTAGTGCAGTGCAGTACAGTACGTGAAATGCTGAATAAAAAACACTATAGAATTGAAATTTCGACAGCTTTTTGGTAGATTTTGATTTACTAGTGCACTGTGTCTGTGTGTCAAAATATCGTTGGATATAGGGTTGGAGAAAAAATAAAAAACACATTTATGTTTTTTAAGTATTATTTAGATATATTATTTTGTTTTTACCAAACATATCAGCTAGATAGCTAGCTAACTATCTAGCTAGTCTAGTAATTCAACACAGCTTTACACATATTAATATAAGAGTAATCAAATACTAAGAGAAACTCCCAATATTATAAGCTCAAAATTACTGCTTCATTAACTTCAGACATATTTTATTTGCAATACTGGTTATCATAAGGTACCTGTTTTTCTTTACAAGGAAGTCCACAAATCTTGCATCACTAGTGTCAGCTCTGGCATTTTGAATACGAAGATTTAGCTACTGCATGTGCAAGTGTGGCCCCCGACCCTTCACTGCATTACCTATGAAAATTCAACATGCATTTCTGCATAAGCATCTCTTGAGTCACACATGCTTTGCCCCAACTGTAAACCATGGTTTTAAATGAATAACTCCTAATTTATCCAAGGCAACTTGGTGTGTATGTCTCAAATATGGTTGAAATTAAATGGAATTGAATTTAAATACTGATAATAGACATCTTAAGTGATATCACATCCCAACATTAATCCAAAGAACATGGAAAGTGAGGATGGCAGTTCTACAAGGAGAATGATTTTGTCACTTTTTGAAACTGGCGGAATGGCATCACCTTACACCACCTCAAATCGAGCCCTGAGTATTCCAGCAATTAATTTGAGAAACATTTTGTCTTATTGAATAAAGCTTACTTTTATTATTAATATTCATGTTATCCTTTTTCAACTGCTTATACAAAATAAATAAACTTCAGACACACATTTAAACTAGTAACAATTCACAATGCAAATTACACCGAATTAAGAATCAACATTGTTTTGTCACTGATTCTAGTCTCCTACCTGATCTCCATGCTTTGTCTCTGCAGTACTGAGTCAAGCTGATCCTGGTGGGCCTGGCAGAGGGCCTGGAAGCTCCATAGCTGTGTTGATCCTACAGAAGGCTCTACAGAGGCTCCAGTCAGGTCGCCGTTTAGCTTCACCAAGCTTGGCTTTGCTGTTAGAACAGACGACCTGGAGAGAAATCAGAGATTTCAGTGATTTATTCACCTGACTCAAACAAATTACAGAGTAAAAGCCACATTGACTGGAGCGAAATGATTTTGTAACTGTACTTTGTCACTGTGAAATGGCATCAGTCCAAAACCAGAGTGCTCACTTGATTATATTCAGGAATTAAGAGACAAATGAACTCTTAGCAGCTTACAAAAAATTAAACGTAAAGTTACACTGAACACTCAGCACAACTGGAACAGGGAGAATGTATTCTCTCTCACACTCTCGCTATCTCACTCTCCCTTCTTGTCCCTCTCTCTCTCTCTCTCTCTCTCTATGGGCTTCCACTGGAGAATATTTACATTGAGCAGATGAAATCAGTTAGGAAATGGAGATGAAACATTTAATGAGTTTGACATTTCAGACCCAGGAGAGTCAACAAGCCGTCTGCGTGCAGGAGAAAGAGCTTTAGTCAAAGTCTGCTTCTCATGGGGAGAAAGTGCGTGATGACACTCAGCTTGGATTAGAAGTGAAAAAGGCTCTCTTGGCCTCAGTCCAGAGATGTGGCTGCCACTCAAGTGGAGTCCATTTTCCTTTCCTTCCTAAAATGATACAACTTCAGACTCAAGTGGTTTGGCCTGTGACAACGTGTGTGTGTGTAGAATGGAGATACACACTGAGAAAGATAACATTATCTGCGATGACGTACATTATTTAAGTGATGTTTTGCATGAAGTTACTCAAAGGTCATTTAGACACATATGATGATTCCTTCATTTTGCAATGTTGCTTAATAGTAAAAATTATAGCGTGGGCCCTTTTTTTTGCATTGACCCTGCTGATAGGAGATTGTAATTTCGATCGTTGGCAATGCCACTTCTATCCAAGGCCAGGAGTCTAAGACAGCATTACTAGCTTCACTCTGAATGGGTAGGATGACAGTTCTACACAGTAAAAGTTCATTATAACATTGCTTTGGAGCATATGTGGTTCCACTCTACAGAGAGTAAAAAACACACTGTAGTTAAACTTCCAGTGTCAATAAGATACAGAATAGTGTTAAAAAGAACACTTGCAATTAGTCTTAGTATTGTGCATAATTAGCACTTTGGGGCATTTAACACTCAAGGTGTTATATGTCCTCTAATTCAATTGTGGTGATTGGAGGGAAAAACATTTAACACTACACTGATGTAGCCAACACCAATGATTTTACTTTGTGGACTCCTCATACTACCCACATACAGATGCATCATTAGCTGTTGAACCAGTACTGGCAGTTAGTGCCGATCATGCTGAGGTGTCTAATGACGCTGCATTTTCAGCAGTTCAAAAAGATGTAGCGGCTGGCTTCATGTGTCTCGCAGAGAGCACATGCTAGCTCATAGGGTAGATTAGTTATCAGGTGGAATCAGCTACGACAAAATTAGAGGGACAAAAAATTGCGAAAAAAAAGTAACAATGCTAAATTATTTTTAGGTCCATGCATTTTAATAGGTTGCTGAAAGCAGCAGGAACAATAGTTACTCAACAATAAACACTAATCATGTGGTCATACACCCCACACAAAATTCCTTTTTGGCAATAATTCAGCTCATCATGTTTGAAGAAAGAAAGTTCCCACGTACGATCCCAAGAATGCCATACCTACATGGAAGCATCATGATATGGGGCTCTTCTCTGCAAACTACTGGGTCAGTATGCATCAAAGAAAACATGAATGGAACGATGTACTGGGACATAGAATTTAATCTTATCATCCATGAACTGGAAGAAGATTCAACAAGACAACAACCTTAAACATACAGCCAGAATAACTCATGACTGGTTTCTAAAAAAGGTGAAGGTGCTTGCATGGCCTAGCCAATCTCCTGATTCAAATTCCATTGAAAATGTATGGAAGATTTTTAAATTGTGGGCCCATCAGAGGGACCATTGTTACCTTGGGGAACTGAAGATGGTTTGCCAAGAGCAGGGTTGTTTCAAAATATCAAAATACCGTTTCAAAATATCTGAGGCCGAAATATTATTCACAAATATTTCAAAATAATATGTTTTCAATAGCGCATAGATTCCGAGCTTGCTGTGAGCTACAGTGTTTCTTATCACTGTATAAAAGATACTTAAGGCTTCTTTTACTGTTGGATTGCTCACAGTTATTTGGATCGGTAAGCACTTACAACAAATGATTAAATTGTTTAAGAGTAACAATAAAGCATGTCTAATGTATTAAGTATTTTCCTATTCAAATGTTTACTTGTTCAAAAATATAATTTGTTACACAAACTAAACAAAAATGTATAAATTGATAATGTTCTTTACCAAATAAATGCAGCAACATCATTCAGAAATCACTTTATTAAATAAGAAGAGCATAAATAACAGCATAAATGCCATATTTTTGTTCCACCTTAAAGGGTTAATATTTACTGAACTACTGCATATTGTTCTGATAAGAGGTTGGTGCTGTGAGACTCAGGTAGCTGTGGTTGTTTTAGTTTCTCGCCTGAATATTTAGTGTAACCTCCATGCTTTGCTTCATGTCTATTGATAGTGATTTCATTACAGTCTTTGAAACGTGTTTGCTTCGGCTCTTGATGAAACCAAAATCGCCAAAATCACCAAAATCGCCAGTTCTCAGAGTTATGTTTGTGCTTTAGGGTTGTAGTCTTGACTAAATGCCGTTCAGTAAATAAAGCTGTAGGTCTAGTCAGAGAAGAAAGACTTTTAAAGTTTAGCTAACTTTGTTACCACAGTTCAGTGCGTCACACTGTAATTTTACGGTGATGTTGCCACTATCAGGTGAAAGGAAGAACTGCAACGTACTGCCTGGCAGGCCACTTATAACACAACCCATAGCCAAGAGCCAAATACAATCTGTCCAAGGATCGCATTTGGCGCTAGAGCCAGACTTTGGATACCCATGGCCAAGAGGAATGGGCAAAAACTGAACCACAATGCTACAAAGAGTGAATTACTTTTCACATTCCACTACACAAACTATAGCTGCAATGGCAAATAATACATCTGTTTCAAAAAGCTAGCTTATTTGCTTCAGCACAATTCAACAGAGTTAACACCTGGACTAAATCCAGCAGGATTCACCAAACCCTCGGTATGATCATGTGATGAGAGGCTGCTCCTCTTGGCCTGCAATACACTGCAGGCACACGGCTCCCACCACTACCGTAAAAGCGGCTCTCCATATATCACTTAGTGAAAACTTCCCTGCAAACACAGCCTCATACAGCAGCGAGATTTATCAAGCTAAAGTCCCTCTCCTCTCCCCAGCTCAGGCCGCTCCCGCTTGGCGTAATTCTTTGAGATATCCTTTGGTGCTTTAATTTAGCTGCTATTATCATTGGCTGAGGATGAAAGAGGCTGAGGAGAGTGAGGAAAACATGGGGCCTAATTCCATTGTTGGCACTGAGGGTTAGACAAAGTTCACCCCAACACTGAGCGTGAGCTCTGTGAACCAGTCGTCTGTGCACCAAATAAAACAGATGTTGAGATGCAACAGACATTTCATTTCATTTTCTTATCTGGGTGTCTTGATAGTGAGCGGCTCACATGCAGGACCCAAAAAGAACAGAAGAGTATTTTGGAACAGTGAAAGTGTTAAGTTCAGTGGCCTTGTGTTTGTGAGACCACTGAAGCTCACTGTTTAAATGTAGTTAAATGTATTTACATTGCAAACATCTAATGAGAGTCAAGATAACATGTGGCATCACTTCTGCTCTCACTGAATCAAGTTAAAAAAGTTCTGCTTGGATTTACAACAATACAGTCAAGCCTTTGACAGCATTTGATCTGAAAAACACAAACGCAAATACACTGTCCTAATTTTAGAATATTTAAAAGGATCAAACTATTTAAATTATGACCAAAAAGTATCAGGGGACTCTACAATTCATAGGATTCCGCATGTTGGTCATCATTGCAGAGGAAGTCCAGTGTTCTACAGTGCAAAAAATGACATCTAAGCAAGTGAAAACACAGTAAATGTCTAATGTTTCTCATTATGAGATTAGTCTAAAAATATCATTCGATTATTTAACTTAGATCTTTAGATTATTTAACTTAATTTAAACTTTCTTATTCAATTAGCAGATAATGTTTTTGTTTAAAGACATAATGTAGCTAATCTTGCATGTTTCAAGAAATAATGCTACTAGATACACTAATTTCTCTAGACTAAATGACTTAAAACAAGGGAACATGTCTACAAATATGTTAAATAATCATATTATATTCTTACAACAATCTCAAAATGAGAAATATTGGACACATATACCAGATTTAAGATGATACATTTTTTTTGCAGTGTACCACTTCAAAAGTATTCTTTCTCATTATAAAGTTCATTATTTAAGTTCTTCTTTGCTATTCTTGTTCATTTTGTCCCAGTTTGATTAACCAATCCGCTTCATTTAAGCTCCTTTAAAGAACGCTTGCAAATGTCAGCCATTATAACACAAAAAGACATTTACTCCAAAAATATTCTTGTGCTGAGAAAATATTTTTAGAATTACAAGCACTTAAGTCCACGTGTGGACAGATGTCACTGGGTAATCCAATAGCGGACGCAGATACTCTGCCCAGCCCAGCGATCCAGCCCGGAAACTCTGCGTTAAAATGGAATGTTTATTCTACATTCTGTGCCTGATCCATCTCAAGCAATGTCTCCATTCACATTAGACTCACACTCTGGGACAAGCATGAAACGCTGGTGGCTTTCGCTGGAATGCACACATGGCTGCGTCTGGCCAGTCCAAGACAAACCTTTCCATTAAAACAGGAGGTACTGCATCTCCTCCGATTTATTAAGGAGGCGCAGCCCTCTGATCTTCCTCCTCGGCAACAGAACACAATGTTGAGCTCAGTCTGGCACCATGTATGCATGTGTTTGTAGTCAGCAATTTGCTGTTGGTGGGCATCTGAATGACTGCATGCAGTTCCTACCTTACCTCCAGTTGTTCTCCAGCTGTAGAGGGTTGTCACTTAGGTTAAGCTCTTGGAGACGAGCACAGCCCTGAAGACTCAGACAAACGTTCCTCAGTTCTAGAAGAGACGTAGAGCAGCACATGAGTGCTAGTACTCTCCCTCACAGCACAGACGCTGTTAGTTAATCCTGTTATGAATACAAACCTAATCCTTAGACAGTTGAGGCATACTTTAAAAAATGTTTGCTAATCTTTTGGAAATAAAACAGCACTACTCTCAGATTATCCGACTGGATTAAGTATTTCCTTGCACTGTTTTATCAATGCAAAGTTATGAGAGAAAAGTGACATGATTACTGCTAATCTAAGGAAACAAAAAGTGAGAACTACTATGTGGAAAAGACGGATAACTCAGTACATTTCCCACCAAATTCATTTTGTCTTAAAAGGGCCAATAAGTAGAATTTACCATTACACTTAATGTTAATAGCCAGAGTTCAATATGCTGAACATATCATTACCAAGCAAATAATAAAACCTTTAGATGTTTACCTCTTTTCAATCTAAAGTGGAGATAAATATAGGTTTCACTGTTGTTTTCCCACCTGACAGACAGTTGTGACTAATGTCTAGTGTCCTTAATGAAAGCAAGTCCACCAACAGAGGAAGCTGAGTGATACTGAAGAAAGAAAAATATGCAGCTCAGTCAGTCCATCTTTTGGATCCAAACATGTTATGAAAGGAACAAAAATGTTCTAATAATTTCATCATTTTATATATTAAAATCAACATACTGTTCAGTTTTAGAACAAAACTTAATAAGACACAACCATACAAGTTAGACTCACTTGTTTTGAGCTACAGAGAGACAGCGCAGCAGAGGCAGCCAGCAGGAGTCCAGGCCATGCAGGGAGGAGATGCTATTGTCGTCCAGATACAGCTCCCTCAGCAAGACATGATTCTTCAGTACCGGTAACTAGGCCCCAGACAAAAAAGAAATAAACACAAGCTAAGTAACTGCATAACCAACTTGCCAAAATACCAACCTGCCCATGTGAGCCATTAAATGTCCCATGAGTTGGTGAACGCAAACCTCACCCTAAATATGAGACTTCAATAGCACATGTCTGTGCACTAAGTCTGACTGGCAATGAAAATTGAATTAAAGTGACGGCAGACGATAATAGGACCCTAATGGACGAGCAGGTTTTAATGTGAGGATGATATAAACAATGCCTGTCATCATTAAGACTTGATGGCTCATTCTGGATGGCCACTGCAGTTAGCATTCTGAATGCTGTCAGGTTCCTAAAATCCCACACTGAGTGAAGAAACTCAGAAAAGCAGAGCTCACTGATGTGGTCGTTCATTTCATTATGGAGGTATTTGAGACACAAAACAGTATAATGAAACCAAACCTGCATGAGTTACTAGGCAATTCATTATCATAAGAAGTCAACAGACATTATTCAGTACTAAGGTTTCTGCAAAATTACCTCACTGCTCAATTTTTTTGGTGGTTGTGTTTTTGCGATTATGTGGTTGCATTGTTTGGGTATGCCATGCTTCAGTGTCACTGTTTTGGTATGGATTACTTCAGCAAGGATGGTTTATAGTTTACCTCAGTCAGACTGTTTCCTCTCAGGTCAAGTGTGTTGAGCAGAGCGCAGTGCTCAAGGCCTTCCACATGACTGAGGTGGTTAAATGAACAGTCCAGATACAACAGTGTGAAAGCATCGCTGAGACCTCTCGTGCTGATCAGCTGGTTATGGTCGACTGACAGCCGCTGAAGCCTTTTCAGAGATCCTAAACCACCTGACAGAAGAAGACATCATTCATATGAAGATGTAGAAATGAGGTGAAACTGTGTGTGGACGATAAGAGGATAGCAAGAAGAAATCTAATATCAGTCAAAGTATAACCTTATCTCAAGACTTGGTTAAAGTGGATTTCATATCAACCACAGAAAGTAAATATTCTTTAAGGGCATTTAACCTCGTCTTTATGAAATATTTATTCATGGCTGTTCAATACAGAAATGCATTAGGGGTAAATGGCTCATATTTGAATACATATTGTTTGCTAGGGAGGGAGCAAATACAGAGATACTTGCTATAATGAGACAATGCTGCCCTCTAGTGAACAAATAAAACAGTCATTGGGTTTCAAAATTAGGCATCTGGAGATATACTTTCCTACAGAGTTTAGCTCCAAGCACAGTTTATCAATCACACTTGGTCCACCTAGTCCAAGTCTTAAAATTAAGAATAGGTGTGCTTGGGTCAAAACTGTGGCAACATCTCCAAGAGAAAAGTCACTGCCTACTATATCATACAATTGTTGGAATCTCAACAGTGGTGTATAATTAAACAGCTGCACAGAAGATGATGATGATGATGATCAGCCCTAGTAAGCCACTCACTGATGCGGGAGATAATGTTGTGGGACAGCTGAAGCACAGTCAGGTTAACAGCACTGTCTAGACCGGGGATGCTCGTGAGCTGGTTCCTGCCCAACATGAGGAACTCGAGTCTTTCCAAACCCCCAAGATCAACATATGTGATGCAGTTCTCCTTAATTTAAAAAAGAAGACATTAGACAGAGAATGCTTGTGCTATCATGAAACCTTTGAGCAAAAATCTAAGCATCCTTACAGAATAAAAGTACATACCTGTACATCAATATGTCTCAGCTCACTACATTGCTGAAGACCTTCCAGGGCCTGAAGTCCACAGCACCTGAGAGTTAGAGACTGCAGACTGGTGCACTCAGACAAGGTAGAAAGACTGAAGCCAGGCAAGTCTTCCAGAGTTACTGTAGTCACCTGGTGTTGGCATTCATTACAAAATACATTTAAAAAACTGCAAGTATCTTCAGGGACAGCACAACACTACGGGGCAATATGACAAAAATATCTATAGAAAGATCACCAGATAGGATGCACCCAGATGACTAATTTTGATCACTGAGAATATGGTAATTTCACACCAACTACCCCAGGCCTTGGCCAATTATGTCACAGATTTCCATAAAAAAATGAAAAACTTTTTTTTATTCAAGCAAACAAGCAAAATGTCAAAGCTGTACTCCAAGTTTCTTTGGTTAGAATTTTTTAAATCTTGCCTTATTAGGTTACAAATTACATTGGAATATTGACTACTGAGTTTAACTGCTTGCAGAAGGACTGAATGGAGCTGACATAGTAACTGGGTGTAAATACAACAATAAGAAACATGTTTTACTTTAAATCAACTATTTTTGTGCTAACAAATGCCTCCAACACGTCAATTTATTTATATTGACTGTGTTTGCAATATTAATTATATGGAGGTACTTTTTAGTCAGATTGTGCAATATTTCATCTTTAAAATCTAAACCTTAAATCAGTTTATTCCTTAAATTAAAACTCATAATTTTATGTAGATCTCCTACATCCTCTCCTAAATCCATTTTGTAGGCCTTTTTAACCCTATACCTTCAATTTTCTCTGAGTAAGAACAGTTCAGTCTGATTAACATATAATAAAATTACAGATGTGCTTTGTATCCTTTGTGGTTTAATATGTTTCTAACAATAAGGCATTTGATTAAGAAGCCCAATACAAAGAAGTAGCAAAACTGTAAAAACAAAAACATTCGATTTCCAAATTTACCTTTATGATGCTACAGTCTGTTCTCATTTTGAGAGGTGATACATTGTTGTATTTCTTGTTGCTAAGGATCAGTTTTACACAGCATCTCCTGCAGAGGCACCCAATAAGTCTTCTGTTTTCAACAAAACTAATTGGAGCATAGCTTTTAATTTTTGTCAGCATGACAGCATAAACTAAGTTAAAATTTTTCATAAAACTCCATGACTTGATGGAGCATGCTCTTGGTGAGTTAGTGTGGAGTGACCCAGTGGTTTCTTCAAAAGACAGCAAATGAGAGACCCTTGGAAGACGGGTGCATCAGCAATACAGGTGTAATATGATCATTTTCAATTTTTCAGTACTGTACTGAAATCAGTACACATTTAACAATATTTTTTCTAAGGTCTAGTAAGTTATAGAAGGCAATTTATTAGTTGTGTCACATTTAAAAATGCTATTAAGAACTCACTATGCACTATGTCCACTTACAGAGGGACATTTACTCACTTGGACTCCTGGCATCACTGGGATCACTATCACTATTTCCTGACAAACCCAGCTAAGCTACCTGGGAGCATATTGTAAACCTCTTTTGAATAAAACATGTTGGTCAGTGTTCTGGAAGAACTGATAATAATTTAATGTTATAACATCATATCGCACACCCCTAGTAAACATTAGTAGCACACAGAGAAGCCTTAAAATTGGTATTAGAATGTTAACAGGAAATATATATAAAAAAAAACTGCATAATTAAATGTTTAACATGTAAATAAAGTCATTCTGAGTGGTTTAATGTGAAATGCTCTGTTGTGGAGAAATTTACCAAGCAAGAATAGTTTTCAGTGGTGGTGACAGGAACAAGACACCTGAAGAGTTTAATGCCTCTGGAAGGTACCTCATGGAATGCTATTACATGAAATAGTTACAAATATGCTGCCTAATGCAGGAGAGATTGTTTTACAATAGTTTCATGATAAGCTTTAGGCCCTATTTTTTTTAAATCTAAGTACATTCAAGCAGTTCTAGGGCAAAATTGTCCCCCTTTTTTTTTGCATATTTGCTACTACATTATCATTTAACTCAGAAGACACATGCAGGTTTACTGTTGTTTTGGATAGTAAATGAAACTGCTATATTTGCGTTGTGGACATCACAGCCCCTGGTTCCTATCACCACCACTGTGCCAAAATTTTGAAAAATCAGCAGAATTCTCCTTTATTTTGTCATGTATGAATAAAGGACTGCAAAACCAACTGTGCTGCTTCTGTTATATTTTTGGTGCTACCTGTCTGAGAGTGCTCCATGGCCCAGATTTGAGGACAGTGTCCACAGGTAAAGGTGGCAAGATGGGTAGTGAGGGTCTCCTAATCGCCCTCTTTCTGGATGGAGCTGTTAGCCCCTTCCTCTTGGTCTGCATGGAGAGCTTGGACCAGGGAGTGCAGTTCATCATCCAAGACAGCCGCTTCTGCTCTGTGCTATCAGGCAGGCATATGGAGCGTGTGTTTTGGGCACAGTTCTGAATTGAACTTGCTGTTTCACACGGGTGCCCTCTAGTGTCCATTTCAGATTTCTCAACATACATTTTCACCTCAAGCTGCGCTCCGTCTAATGCTGGTGCCATCAGGGCAATGTTGTTGTCGGTGGGATCTGCTGAACAGATCTGATGGTGTCCATAACTAGAGGATTTAGGGCTAGCTGAGATACCATTTGGGCTCTTATTTGACTGAGAAAGACATGGCTGAGGAACAAGCTCTGCACTTCTCTCTTCTTTCCCCCCTTTTTCACTATTCTTCTTTGTGTTCTTGCTACCAGTCTTAAGAAAACATCTCTGATCATCCAGTCCTTTTCCATCTTCCTTGAGTACACTTTTTCTGTGCTCCTCTCTTGTCCTCTCTTCTAATTCATGACCATCTCTTTTCTCATTTCTTTTCATCACTTTCCCTTCTTCCTCTTCGCTCTGCTTTTCTGCTAGATTTTTTCTTTGTTCTTCCTGCATTACTTTGCCCTCGAGTTGTTCTTTCTTTTTCTTCTTCTCCTCCTCCAACTTCTTACTCTTCCCCTCCTTACTTTTCCTCCTCTCCTCCTCTACCCTCCTCTCTTCCTCCTCCGTTCTTTCCTCTTCCATTCTTTTCCCTCTTTCTTCCTCCCTCATTCTTCTCTCTTCCATTGTCTGTTCATCTTTCTCCTCAATTCTCTTTTTCACTTTCCCGTCCTCTTCTTTGCTCTCCTTTTCCTCAAGTTGTTTTCTTTCTTTCTGCATTTGCTTGCTTTCAAGTTCTTCTTTCTTCTTCTCCTTGTCTTTTCTTTTTCTATTCTCATCATCTACTGAAGATTCTGTGCACATTCTGTGCTCTTCCATTCCTTTCCTTTTTTCTTTCTGCCTCATTCCTCTCTCCTCCATGGTCCATCCATCTCTCTCTATCACTTCCCCCTCCTTGCCTTTGCTCTCCTTTTCCTCTAGTTGTTTTCTTTCTTTCTGCATTTGCTTGCTTTCAAGTTCCTCTTTCTTTTTTTCCTCTTTCAATTTCCTCTCTTCCTCCTCTAATCTCCTCCTTTCCTCTTCTTTCCGCTCTTCTTCCATTCTTTTCGTCCTTTCTTCATCCCCCTTCCTTTTTCTCTCATCCTCCATCCTCTTTGCTTCTTCCTCTCGTCTTCTCTGTTCCTCTAGCTTGCGCTCTTTCTCCAGGCGATGGCGCTCTCGTTCCTTAGCTCTCTCGTACTCAACTCTTCTCCTCTCCAATTCCTCCTTCTGATGCTGCTCCTCCGCCGCCACTCTCTTTCTCTCTTCCTCCCTCTCCTTCTTCATCCTTTCCTCTCTCTCTCTTCTCCTTTCCCTCTCTTCTATCTCCTCCTGTCTCCTCCTTACCTCTTCTTTCCTCTTGATCAGCTCATTCTTACTCCAACGACGCACCAGGACTCCTCTAAGAGCTGCCTGGAGCTTGGTGGCTGCTCCACTGCGCTGCTCCTCAGTTTTCCTCCTCTCCTCCTGCTGTGCCTCCTCATATGCACGCTTTTCTTCCTCCAACTGCTCCTCTAATTTCTTGATCACCTCCTGAGACAGTTCACACACAAACATAATGGGAAATTCACACCTTTCCACATAGGCAGTATTTACCTGAAAAATCTAAATGTAATGATTATCACAAATTATCTCAAACTTACCTGCTGTTTGGCCAGTTCAAGTTGAATTCTTTCTTTTATGTGGCTGTCTCCTCCCAGATCTTCAGAAACCTCACATTATGAATAAATAGCAAAAAATGTCACAGGTTTCAGCCACCAACAGCATCCAACAACTTCTTAGAGACACATTACTGGGCAAAAGTAAGAGACCACCCTTCATTTATTCAAGTATAGTACAAGTTAGTCATATTTCAGTAGATATTTCTGAGGAGATATATACATATATACAATCCACTTCCATTAGGAAGGGGAAAGTGAAAAGCAGAAGCTTCCAAAACTGAAGTTTAAAAAATGATAGAGAGAAAATGGGACTATGGGACTCCTAACAATTGGGCACCAAAGCTATTGCCATCAGACAAACAGTGCATAAAGCTTTCATCTATGAGAGACAGGAGGAGATCAAGCTCCACTCTTGCTTCTGATCTCAAATTATCCACAGATGTTTCTGTCCATCCTTCCACTGTGAGAAGAAGACAGCTCAACACTATGAGTCTAAAAAAATATGTTGCTATCAAGAGGCTGTTACTGAGAAAAGAAAACATGCAAATGAGTAAAATATTTGCAAATAAAACATGTTGTTCTTAGACTGATCACCCCAGAGTAAAATCAATATCACTGAATGTGTTTGGTATTACTTGCATCATGAAAAAATGAAACGAAACCAACTTCTGAAGACTGAACTTGGGTATGGAAAAATACGTGGAGAAACTTCCCTGCAAATTTCTTTGAAAAACTGAAAGCAAGTCTCTTAAAAAGAACGAAAATTGTAATTGCAAAGGACGGACACACTAAATGCTGAAAAAATTATACTATATTTAGTTCTTGAGGCTTCTTTTAAATATGATGATAAATATGAAAAGGAACAGCTTGTACTTAATGGTCATTTTGACTTGCAATTAAATAAATGAAGGGTGGTCTTTGGCTTTTGTACAGTACTGTATATAACAGATTACAGATAAACTTACCAAGCAAGTGTTCTCTATCTTTCGTAGCTCCTCCTCAAACTCCTCAAGTCTGCACCTCCTTTTCTCCTCTTCCTCTCTCACTGAGTTCAGATGGTGCTCCTTCTCAGCCTCCAGCTCTGCCAGTCTCTGTTCCTCCTCTTTCTTCAGTTTCTCCTCAAGCTCTACCCATTCATAGATGAGCTGCCTTTCAGCCTCTTTGTATACACCACATTCAGTTTCTGAAATCAACACAAATCCTTATATGTACATGTTGTTGAAAAGATTACAAGGACAAATAAGAAATCTACTTGCAAAAGACAAATTGCATCCTGTCTTGCAAAAGCAAAGTAACTGAGCCTTTAACAAGGTCATCTAGTGAATAGATCAAATGAAATGTTCCAAGCATAAAGCACACATTATTGATTGATAATATTTAAATTATATGTTAATTAACATACCTAAGGAGGGCAAAAAAAGCAATGCACTGATTTCAACTACACTGCAACCAATTATATGATTTAGGGAACTGCAAGTGAAGCTCTAGATAGTCTCCTTTTCTGGTGGTTGGAAAACAGTGGAGGTTAAAATGTCTTTTATTTGGGCTAAGAAAAGAGTGAGACAAAACTGTGGGCTACTGTCTTCATCTGTAGCACCAAAATAATTGTATGGCCACAACAGACTGTAGTTTGGCTTTAATTCCAATATGCAAACAAACCGTCATTCATATGCAGTGCAGGCTTTGTATCTTCCAGGCAACTTCCATCACTTGGATATGCTACATGCTCCTCAATTTCAGAAATGATCTGAGAATGCATAAACATACAAATCACTTTTCAGTACGGCTCATTACAACAACCTTATAAGACAATTTAAAGCATGCACCAGCATGACAGAACTAAAACTCAAGACTTAATTTATATTTTATTGGCCTCTGATTCATTTCTGCGTCATTCTACGATTTTGCACCAAGCACATTCAATAAATTCACTGGCCCTTCCCTTCCTCAGCAGTGACTCAGGGTTTTTTACAATCACATCACTCACCCTTTCCTTCAGCTCTGTAAGATCCTCCTCAGGATTACAGTCAAGTTCATTTAGAAGATTTTCAAAATGATTTTGGTGAGACAGCTCAGTACATGCTGTATCTGCATATAATGTAAACAAGAACAATACTGTAACATATAATATTGTAAAAAATGTGCAGTTCTGCAGCTCTTATTGTGTCTCACCATTTTCGTCAAGATCAAGATCTTCAAGGATCAGCTGTTCGAATGTATTCACTCTGTTATGTGAAGCTTCAAAATAGGTGAGCACTGACTGAGGTAAGTCATTCTCTAGCTGTATTTTGAAGGGTACAAAAACATTATCAACCAGACAGTCACAAGAACAGAGAAATCAGCTACAACACTTGACTACTCACAAATAACGACTTAATATAATTATCACAGAAGACAGACAGATACATAAAAGAGTACTAATGGAAAAGCTTACTCATTACCTAGATAGCTACACAGGTTCCATCATGCGCGAAACACATTACAGCCTACGACAAGTTTTTTGATACACACCTTTCTATTAGATGCATCAAAATCATCCTCAGTGTCTGTGTCACCATCTGAATCCACGTCAGAAACGTCTGAAAGATTTAGGCTCAGCTTTTCCAGCTCCTCATCAATAGCCTGTTCAATGGCTTCTGAGTCCATCCTTAAATAATAACCACACTGATCAACATCTGTCAGGTAGTGAACAGCAACAGTAGGGCACTTACTATCGACATTTTTCCCCAAATAAATTTGACTTAAACGGTGCACCTATTATAGAGCCACAATCTGAGAGAGCTGTTTGGCTTCCTTTATATATAAAATAAATTAGTTGAGGTACATTAATGTTGGATCACTTTGTTCTCTACAGTAAATAACCAAGAATTATACACAACTCGTCACAAATTTAGAAATATTTCTTCACTAAATACTGTGTCTCTGATTACTAAACAGAGGCGGATACAGTATACCAAAACCACACTGAAGTGAAAGTATAGTTATTTTGGTGAACGACTCAAGTAGAAGTAGAAGCATTTTTCCAAAAAAAACCTGAATAGATATACAAAAGTATCAGGTCAAAAAACAACTTCCTTTTTTTTTCAAAATCTCTGGCAAAGTCATTCTGAGTGATATGATGTGAATGTGTATTGTATTGTAGAGAAACTTGTTGTGATAATAACCAAGGGTCATATTGTCTAAAATAAAAATACAGACAATTTATTTACTATCCAAAAAGATTAATGAACCTACACATAATGTCTGAGTTGTATGTGCAATATTGATATTGCAAAAAATAGTGGTAATTCAGAAAATCCTCTGATTTGGGTCCTATTTTGCTTATAAAGCCCGGAACGTACCTCTACACCATGAACAGATTTTATAAAATACATTTTAGACCAAAACATTGTCTCAAAATTATCATCTCTCAAGCATCAGTCAACATACTCAACCAATTTGAGTAACAGTTTTCTATGAGGGAGCTTTTAGAGGCATTAAACCCGTCAGACGTCTGGTCAGAATCACCACCACCACTGTGAACAATTCTGACCAATTAAGTTTCTCTAGAACAGAGCATTTCACACCAAACCACTGTACACCTTTACTATTGAAACATGCAGAATTTTTTTTTTTTTTTTGAAAAAATACCCTTTCTTTTTCTTCCTTCTTAGTAAATCCAGCATCTGTCAGCATTAGTCCTGAGATCTGTTGAGCTCTGTTCTTCTCTTTTTGGTCTCCTTTGGGTCTAAGTTAAAAAATTAAAGTACCAAAGTCTCCAAAGAGGTGCAACAATCACAAAGCAGAATAGATGCTGTAAACAACATAGCATAATACATAATACATAACACAATAAACACAATGAAGGAATTAGTCATTAAACGTTAGTGACTAAAATGTTAAAGCAGGTTCCTTTACTCATACATACACTTAGGTATAAGTGAAAATATTCACACACATGTTCCCTTAACGGGTTATCCTCCTGGGTCGCGGGGGGAGCTGGAGCCAGCTGTCACCGGGCGGAAGGCAGGAAACGCCCTGGACAGGTTAAGTGAAAATTCTGTCATTTGGAAACACTTTTCATGGTGGTTTGATGTGAAATGGTTAATTGTAGAGAAACTTGTAAAAAAAACTCTGATTTCGTTACACTGGTGCTGATAAGAACCATCACAATAATAGCCATTTTATTTACTATCCAAAACCACCACTAAAACTACGTGTCTTTTGAGTTTTATATGTAAAGTCAATAATAAAATAAATCTTAAGTGTTCTTTACTCGGTTGTTCACAGGTAAGTTAAGACACCGTGACACAAGTTAACGACTGCTACCGTGCGTTAACCCACCGAACGCTAGACAACTTAGCATACACCAACAGCCTTTAGTGGAGGTCAGAGGCTAAAACGCCTCTTGACACGCTGTGCGAAACACATTACAGCCTACGACACGAGCATAAAACAAGACCATGTAACAAAATACCTTTCGCTGGATGGAGTCTTGACGAAACGTATGTAGAAAACACATTTATCCACACATTTGGCTCATACTTATCCTAACACTGACGAGCTGACGAGACCTGCTAGAGTTCGCGTCTCTGTGCAGTGTTGTTGCTATAGAAACCAACGGTATAGGGTGGCGCGAGGGACAAACTGCTTGTCTCAGTAATATACCTGAGGATTTTTAACAGTCTGAGTCAAAACACAGAGTCAAAACAAACTATACAATTTGATTTTTGAGACTAGCATTCTCATTAGTTATGTTACTCCACCATCATGTAATGAAGGCTATAGTGTTAACTGACTACTGGCGCTCTAATAAATCATGCTAGCTAACCATTTAGCTGTCTTAGGAAGGTAAGGCTGTGCTTTCTCCTACAGTCAGCTTTATCATTAGCAATAGGGCTGATTTTTCCAAATGTCTGCATAAATAAATAGTTCACGTGTCAGCAAAGTCATTCAGAGTGGTTTAGTGTGAAATGCTTCGTTCTAGAGAAACTTACCGAGTTAGAATTGTTCACAGTGGTGGTGATAGGAACCAGACGTCAGAGTTTAAGATCTCTAAAAGGTCCCTCACAGAGAGTTATTACATGAAATGGTTATGAATACACTGCCTGGTGTCTGAGACACTGTTTCATGGTAGTTTTGTGATGAAAAAGTATTTTAATCAATTTATTATATTTTTCAATATCAATTTATTTATATTAATTTAAAAATGATTTAATCCATATGTATTTGTAAGTTTCTCTAAAAATTAACCATTTTACATCAAACCACTCTGTATGACTGTTTATATCTCAACCACTGAATTCCCCTTTAAGCCCTTTAGTCTGCCTGATTCTTGTGAACAGTTTTTAAAAATGTTTTTGAGCATTCATGCTTAAGTGGAGTCTCACAGCTTTACAAGATTTAATTCATTGATGCGATGAACTGGTTCATCTCTCTCAGAGGTGTAACTAGCAGTAGATGTTTCATCAGAAAGCATTAGCATATGACTTCCTGTGTGACATTTGAGTACTAAACAAGAACAGAAAGCAGCACTTTTTCCTGAGGAAGCACCAGTATTACTTAAAATGACTTGGACTTACATTGGCTTAACAATCTTACCGACTCTGGTAGCTATATTTTTGAGGGCAATCTAACCTGCTCCATATGTGCCAGTATGGATGAAATTTTTTAGTAAGTCTTTGACTTTTAGCCTGTGATAATTGTGATGACCCTCTGCCACCTTCTGCAACTTACTGAAACTGTTGTTTTCAAAGTAAATACTTAATCCATCCTCTACAAAAAATCCAGCAACAGTATTTCTAATGTTCTGTTGGCCCATGCCTAGAAAGACATTTTCCTCAAATGCCAAGACGAACATCTTCAAAATAACCTCAATGTTAAAATGCCCCATATGGTTATTCTGTGTGGCTGCAGAACTTCACTGTGCAAGAGTTGGTTTCTGAAGTCAAACCAACTGTCTATGTTTCATCAAATCTGTAAGAAGCATTCACCAAGTTCAATTGCTCAAAAAGGCCCCATCAGCAAGCCTTGTCCACTCTGATTAGGGGAGAGTGGAATCCACCCCTTTGTGAGTGGGCAAGGTGTCCGGAGCTCTTTGTCTGAGAGCACAGAACCCAGACAGGGACCAGACAGGCCGAGACTGCAGATTTATACTACAGATTAGACCAGTCAAAGGCGGCTTGGCTCCAAACGGAGCTCAAGTTTGGATAGTGTCCCTGTGTTTGCACTGTCAAGGGTTTTCTGTAACTGGTCTGTAGCCATTATCTGGTCACCACTTTTCAAGCTGATCATTTCCATTCAGGTTGCAGGCTGGAATAAAGGTCACTATGCTGCTGGGTCACTATTCTACTAACTCTGTGGACTCTTCCAGGCAGGCTAACGTGGCCTTATACTGCAATGATTTTCTCATTGAAAAAGATTATTACTCTGAAATATGTCAATAATGTGTGGACAGATCTATTGAAAGTATGTTCTTTGATTACTCCTCTGCAACTGTACAGTCATATGCAAAAGTTTAAAAATCTAGTTACATACTTAGTTGAGTGAAAACATTTTAACACTGTCTACAGAGAACAAACGAGTTTAATCTATTGGAAAAACACTTTTTCACAGGCTGCATTTTACGTTTTTCTCTCCAGTATGTAAAATTCAGCAAATAAACAGTAATTATGCATTTAAATGTGCAGAGAAATAACATATTTAAGTGTGTTCTCTGCAAAGGATGTGTTAACTTATTTTCACTTAGAAAGTCTATACATGTAATTTGTCCAGGGGTGTTTTGCGTACAGCTCTAATTGTGTAATTCTAACCAATACAACATTCTAACCAAACTTTCAATGTAAATAAAATAGCCACAGTACAATGAAATTATGACATCTATTCATCCACAGTACACAAAAATTGTTATAAATGAATCTGACAAAGTGTAATTCATTTTGCCCTGCAGTATTTACTGGCAGCTCTCCATAGTATGTTTTCATTCATTTTACAATCACTTCTTGTGGATCCCTTCAGGACTCCTAGTGTTTTGGACTCTGAAGGTCCCATGACTGAAGTGAACCTTGTGACACAGGACAATATTTCTGTGAAAAAAAGAGCTTTATCACTACATTGTAATTAATCCTCTCATTGTAAAACATCTTCAACAAGAACATGAGAGAATGCCACTCTCCACTCATAAATACTCACACTAGGTCCATTATCTTTTTAGTCTAAATTCAGAATTAAATTTATAATAGGACATTGAGGAGGGAGAGACAATGAGAGTTCCTGAGTGGCAGAGCTAACTAAAAGGAGTACTCTGAGACATACACTGTCCCTAGACTCTTTACTATTAATATGTATATTATCTCTCATTAGTTAATTTTGACTATAATTTTGAACCATTACTATTAGAATTAGGCCTTCAGTTCAGGCCATAAATGTCAAAACAAGGAAAGGAACACCTCTGTGATAATGCTAATATCTGCCAGTGCCCCTATATGATTCTAGTAGTTTGTCAACATCAAACTATCATCAACACACACACACACACACACACACACACACACACAGATATAAATATATATGATGTTTTTGATGTTTTTGCAGTTTTATTCCATACATAGACTGTGTACACTGGGTAGTGAATGGTACAGTGTTTACATATTACGTTAAACTATTTTATGTCAAAGAAGTTAGCAAATTGTGGTTTTCCATGATGTGGGGGCTTTAACAGTTTTGTAGCGACCCTTTCAGTAAACAACCCTCATGTAGAGCTGCCACTTTTTTCCATTTCTAACAACCGACTGAAACGCATTGGTCATGCTACTGTTCGGACTGACAGTCAGTGCCGTATCTAGGACTTTCAGAAGGCATAGAGTGGTGGTCTGCAACTCTGGTCCTGGAGACCTACCTTCCTGCACAGTTTAGTTCCAACCTGTATCCAATAAACTGTTCCACCCCTTACTTTTCTCTAATACATCTGATCCAGCCAATCAGGGACTTGGGAAGAGGTTGTTAGCTAGATCCAGTGTGGCAAATAGTGCTTGAAACTAGATTCTGCAGGATGGTAACCACTGAAACCACTGGCCTGGAGTGATGTTTTCTTCTCACAAATGTGGCCCCACCCATTTGAAATTAAAATATTATTCCTCTGTCATTGTCTGAAAGCATAGAAGGCCCTGAGGGTTCTCCACTGGATATTTCATAAGCAATAACATCCAATTATATTCACTGGAGATTTTGCCTAATTTAACATGCCTAACCCCACATAACATACTGTAACACTTGTCGACTGCCACCAATTGTACTATAGTAAAATAAGTAGAAAAAAAATAACTGTTCTTCTTGGTATACAAAACATATACATATACATGTACACACATACATGCACTTACAAACATATAAACACCCATAAGGCATGACAGCATGAAATGTATTGGTTTTACTAGGTTTAAATATGTCCAGTTGAAGAAGCTTTTTAATCCAGAAAGAGAGAGTTATGTGACATCTTAATATATTATAGTGTCCTGGTCAAAATGTGCCTTCTCCACAGTGAGATGGATACTGATGACCCATCCTCAGTATATGCTTTAATTTCCTTTGTTATGACACACAGCATGAAACAAACCTCAGATGACCATCTACTAGTGCTAAAAACACTGGTCAGTAAAACTCGTGACAGCAGAAGAGCTTCAGATTACCAGAGTCAGGTTCAGGGTAATGAATTAATGATTGAGCAGGTACGGAAAGTAACTTGCCATCTGTGACTGGACAATTTGTTCGTCATCATCATTTGTTCGTGCTTCAAAACGATCCCTAAAATGCCATCCATAGAAAGCGGTTTGAGAACAGAAACACAAGGAAGCATAGAAGTGCGTCATACATCGTGTGCAATTACAAAGGTTGAATAACTCAAAAGATACAATGAGTTACAATTCACTATGAGTTAAACACTATTGGCCATTAGACCAGGACAGAAGTAGTTGCTCCTGCAGAGAAGGAAAATGATGTTTTTCACTGTACAGACTGCCACAAAACACTTTTTGCTGCCATTTTACTTTTATAGGTACAGTTGTTAAGAAATGTACTATGTTGACTAAATGATTTTCAAAATGCCTGTATCCTACATTTTTCTTGTATTTTATGTTCTTCCCTTGAGGTCTACAGTGTTTGTGTGTCGGAATTAGTGACTGTTGCAATTTGTTGTAATTCATGACTAAACCATTTTTCATCATTTTCCAACACTTTATCCCTTAGAATTAAACAGGCTGTTTTGGTTAGTGTCCGAAAATATGTAAAGGATCTGCATTCTGTTTGGCTGCCCTGTACTACACATCAAAAAGCAGTCTAGGCTGAAACACTCCTTAGGTCAGTGTGAATGGGCAGAGCTGTAGTCTGAAAAGGTGGACAGATGTAAATGTGTTGGACATCACAAAAAATCTATGAATTGTAAACAGAACTTGCTGTTTATATATCCTTCCATGGATTTCTGACACCTGACCCCTCACTGCAATCCTTTAAGCTATTGCCAGTGTTGTAGTGATCATGGTTTGACTTAAAAAGACATTTTTCTGACTCTCCTCTTTAATTTATTTTATCCTACAAATCATTCTCACTCTGACAGCTTATGCTGAACTCTGATAGTTCATGGTGAAGCAGTTTCTTCATGTAGCATATTCTATTTCCTACCTTATACTAACCTGACACAAACCTAATTGCTGATCTGATATATACATGACATGTGACAGCTATGAAGGAAGTCTGACTTCAATAGTGAACTTCAGTATTATTGAATATATCTCGAGAACAGCCTTGAAGAAATGCCAAGCACAGATAAGCATCAGATAAGAAGAAGTGTGGTCACCATACAGACAGGATATTTGCGAAAAATGACCACAAAATCAAATAATCACGTCTGTGACCCAGCCTCAACCATATTGGAAAAAGAGGAATTTATGGCAGGGTGGCTTTAAATATTCACAGACAATAAATTCAAATTAAGAATTAAGAACCTTGTCTAAAGAGAACAAAAACTTTGACAAAATCTCTGAGCAACAATATGGTTTGAGAGGTTGTCATTCACCCTTTATCCTACTGGCGTGTTTACATTATCCACAAACCCCAGTGTTAACAATTTCAAATGGTTCACTCATGGTTGTGTGTTCACAATGGTAATGGCAACCATTTGAAGCCAAGTGATTGCTTTGCACAGTTGTACAGTATAAAGGTCTTCACACCATATGACTGTAATCTGCCAAGACTGCATGAAGGACTTCTTTGTATCCAAAATCAAGTTTGGGTTCTTTTGTGTTTCTGTTACTATATGTTCCATGTGTCATTAAATGCAATGTCAACTTGATTTTTTTGTTTGTTTGTTTTACTATATACATATATATATATATATATATATATGTGTGTGTGTGTGTGTGTGTGTGTGTGTGTGTGTGTACATATACACATATAGATAGATAGATAGATAGATAGATAGATAGATAGATAGATAGATAGATAGATAGATGAGCAAACACTAGGTCTCTACTGTTTTATCTTTTTTATGAATCACGAAGGAATTTTAACCATCTGTAATAAGATTACAGTCTGTCATATGTTAGCTTCAGTCAGAAAAAAATATTTTACAAATAAGTAAATTAATATAAAATTATAGAGACTAAAGATATTTTCATTCCTTGATGTAGTAATCCATAACTGTACAAAAGCCTGTGTTTGTCTATGAGCTTGTTTCCATTCATGAGCTGCTTATGCTGACAATCACGCTCATATTGATAATAGACAGTGTACTAGTACTCAACTAAGGTCATTTACTCACTACACTACACTACACTACAGGACAGAGAGGTCTGCCCCACATTGATCTGAAATGCACTGTCAGGCTAAATCAATATCGTTGCCCGCTTAGATTAGCACTGATTGGTGGAGGCGAAGCTATGAAATGGTGGAGCCCACAGGACAGAAAATCCCAGAGATCAAATGCAGCTTGAAAAAGCAGCTCATCACCATGCACGCGAATTTGTACAGGCTCTACATCCTTTTAGAGTGACCACTCTGCTAGAGAGCGAGAGACCGAACGCGCGCGCGGAGGAGAGAGAGAGAGAGAGAGAGAGAGAGAGAGAGAGAGAGAGAGAGAGAGATAGAGACAGCACGACGACAAAGGACAAAGCTTGTACCGTATAACACACGCATAAAAGCTTTGCCATAACCGCAGTTAATCCAGCATCCCAGAGCGAGTAGCCTATTCTGGCCGACTGTGGTCCACTGTTGGTCATCACAGGACACTTTGCTGTAGAGGCACTTCGAACTCTCAGTGTTAAAGCAATTTTTTTTTTTTGAAATGACCATCTTTCTTCACAAGATTTAGCCACAATATTGATAAAAGGCGGGATACTGGCGGCACATGGCCCCAAAATCCGCCCACACGAACCGTCTTGTACACTGTAGTAGACTGAACCACTCGCTTTAGTTCTGGGGGGGATCTTAATTTGATATATTGTTTCAGTCCCTGAAAACGTCCCTTAAAAGCAAAATGCAAATTATTTTTATCCTTTTGCAGATTCACAAATGTTTGACTTTAAACCATGACATGAAGAAAGTACCACTTTGTTTTTTTTACATTCCGAAGCACCGCGCCACCCCTCCCCCCTCACAGCGCTTCTCCATAACTGTCAGTCAAGGCGAAGCGTCTTGTGAGGCAGCACCGGCAGGATCATCAGAATCAGATGGAGGAGAAGAGATGCGCAGCGCTAACGAGCTCGCACTATCACAAATTATAACTTGAGAAATTTTAAGAGCTGTAGACTTGACTGTTTTATTGATTCCTAAAAGGTAAGAATCCCTTTTATGTCTTTGTTTTTCATGATTTTTTTTGTGGCCTTGTTCATGAAGGGAAGGATGCGCAGGCAGCAGGCTCGGTGCGGTGTATGATGAAATACCCCACATGTATGGCACACGTTTGGGCGGGGATCTAACGTTAGCTTAATTCTTTGATAAAGCTGTTGATTAACTAATTTAACCATCCATTTTCTATAACTGAGCATTAAATTTAGGTTATTTAATCATTTGTATGCATTTGCTCAATTCTTAAATCCTTACAATTACACAGACAATGTGGGCAAGAAATGAAATGGTGAGATTCATGCTTGTATTTGCCCGAGAGGAATTCTTCATTCTGCCTCAGCCACATGCTACAATTTATTCAGAAGAGTTCTTGGATTTTATTTGTACATTTCAGGACAGGACACGGTCACGGTGACTTTTTTGGGGTCAAACTTGCATGAAGGTTTTGTTAAAATGAAGGAAAGACGTATTAGAGGAGGCTAATCTGGAGGAGATGAGAGCTCTAATAATGGCCTAAGCCCCGATGGAGGGCAGCGATAGGCTGCCGCATCACAACCAGCGTGGCTGTGGGGCCGTTTCGCCGCTGTGGAATAGCCTACATTTTACTCTACATAATAGATATTCGACACACATGGATATTCTAGTGTGAAATATCTCGTGTTCTTTTAAAAAGAGGGTTTTAGTGAACGTTTCGGTGCGGTGCTCTTCTCTGAGTGGCCGCTGCGCGATGCTGAGGAGTGTTTGGGTTCTTATGCAAATGACCTCGTGCACTGTGAGCTCCGGTATCACAGCGCAGGACGACGATCGTTCCAGAGTAAACCATCCAGTCACAACGCTTCAGCAGGCCGGCGAAATAGGTTTTGGCAGTGATTGTATAAATAGAAAACACTGTAGGCGGTGCTTGGGCTGTGCGAGAGATGGAGACTTCAAACATGAATGTTCTGTAGAGACGCCTGTCCTTTGGATATCATGTAACCACTGTCACTATTTTCACTCATCTCACTAGGCCAAAACAAGCATTGCATGGATAATTTTACATAATTTCTCTTATTAAACTATGGTGAAATACATTTCGATTAAATACGTTTAGACTCTTAAATAAGATGGTTCTTTGATAAGGGGAATGTTCTGTTTAGAACCATGAGTTCTACATAGAAGCATTTGATGCTTAAACGGTACTTTAAATGGCGAAATGGTTCTTCATATTGATTGTTGTGTATGGTTCTATATAGCACCAGAAAGGGTTATTCAAGCTTTACCCAATAGAAAACCCCTTTTGATGCTATCACAATCAGAATCAAGCTTCATTGGCCAGGCATGCTCATACATACAAGGAATTTGGTTTGGTATATGGAACCATTTTCAAAAAGGTTCTACATAGAACCATATAAGCCCAAAACAAATCCTCGATCTGTCTGAAGAACCATTTCACTATGCAAACAATCAGTTAAGCATGAAATGGTTCTAACAGAACCCTCCTTTTACTGAAGAACCCTTGAAGGACCGGCTTTTTTTAAAAGAGTGTAGAAACAGCACCGTGCTAGATGAACCCAAAGCGCTTGTGTACGGATGACCACGTGGTCTAATTCCCCGCTCTTTCTTTCTGCATCCCAGCAGTCCGTTCTGTGACAATGAGGAGATAATTGTTGGAACACGCCGCCCTTTTCTCTCCATCCTTAACGCACAAATTCAGCATCTGAGCCGCCTCTGCTGCTCTGACTCTCCCCCTGAAGAGCTGAGGTGACCGAGCTCCCTCCCCATCCGCCAGAAAAGAGAGAGACATTTTCACCACTTATCAAATGCCCAAAAACAGCAAAGCCGTCAAGATAGCAGAGCTTGACGACGACGATGTCACGGAGTCTGTCAAAGACCTGCTTTCCAACGAGGACGCGTGCGACGACTCCTTCCGGAAGAGCACGCTGGCCGTGAGCGCGGCCGCTGGGGAGAAGGCGCGCGAGGCGGAGGAGGGCGCGTGCGGCGCTGAGGAGGAGAGACCCGCGTGGAGCAGCAAGCTGCAGTACATCCTCGCGCAGGTTGGCTTCTCCGTCGGACTCGGAAACGTGTGGAGATTCCCCTACCTGTGTCAGAAAAATGGAGGGGGTGAGTCCTGCTTCTTTTCTTTGTTTGTTTGTTTGTTTGTTTTTTTCCCAAAAGCACAAGAAATTCTCATCTCATTACAGCTAACTCAGCATCATGAGCCGAGCAGGTGTTCGTTCACTAAGCGTGAAAACCGTTGCTTAGCCTATGAGGGGTGTAACGATACGTAGTTTTTAGGGTTCGATATGATTTTCAATTAAGATTCGGTTTGATTTTCGATATATTGTTTGTTATAATGTCTTAATTATATAGTTGTATACTACACAGATTGTTTTGGCTCATCTGAAATAGGATTCACTGACATGGGAACTGTGGGCCAATGGCAATATCCAGTATTTTTTATGTACATATCTGCCGATGCCGATGCTAAATAAACATTTAGCATGGGACTAAAGTGACCTGGATTAGACCTCCAGTGAAATATGACATTGCTATAGGGTTGCAAATACAGTGAAGTCAATATAATTTCAGTACAAAAGTCCACCATCACCTAACCATTCTGCTCTTTCAGAGTACAATATGTACGTAATCAAATATTGGTTCACAATATGAGTCGAATCTAAACATCTGTCCGATACCGAAATTTGTTTTTAAAGCAAGTCGGTTAAATGAGAAACCCTCGGAAAAACTGAGGCACAAATCAGAAATACAGTTGCGCTGTTTCAAATGTTTATTGTTTCAACTTTTTAGCACTTTTTAATACTGTATTAAAACTGTTGCATCCTTGCTGTTTAGCCCAGTTGGCCAAGCCTATAGACTATAGATGTGATGTAGTACTTCTTATTGTCACCTTTTGTCCATTTTTTATAAATGCCTTGTATTTAAAATCTTGATAAATATTAATGGGCATGTGTGAAGTAATTTGAACTTTGGCAGAAATCAAGCATTTGCGTAAGTGTGCAAGCTATTCACGCTGTGAAGAGAGGGCCATGTGACTGAAGCATCTATCCTTTAAAGGGTACATATCTTAAATTTGTCGCTTTTTTGCCCTGTGATCAACTCATAAAGATTTGATAGGTTTATTTACCAAAAACAGTACTCATTAATTTTTACATGACTATTTTTTATTCTCTCTTTACCCCTTAGGATTAAACAGGCTTTTTTGGTTGCTGCGTCTTTAAAACTGATATATGGAAATGACCTCTGTTCTGATTAGCTGTACTGTATTGTGCCTCATTCAAAAAGCAGTCCAGGCTAAAAAACTCCTTACAGCTTCAGTGTGAATGGGCAAGGTTAAGCTGCTGCAAGCTAAATAGACAGATACATGAAAATGTGTCATCACAAAAACAATTTAAATTGTGGTTTTGCAGCTTAGTTTCTATTAATGGCCTGTAAGGTCTGGGGAGTGGAGTTTTTAAACTTAACAGTGTTAACATGCATCATTAAACCGTTTTATTGTATAAAATCAAGGAAAATTATGTTTTCCATGATATGCTGTTTGAGGTAAAAGAGGTGACTCATTTTTTGCCTTATACCAGCAACTAATGTTTTTAACTGATTTGCTAATGAGACTCTTACAGATGTTTCCTCCTGTGCCTGGGTGTAGGTGTGACTCAGAGATGAGGTGATGCCCTCAGTGAGAAATACCCTCTGCATGATGGAGATAGAGTCTCGTAAATCAATCCCCAAGATAATCACTCCAGCCATGCCACTCTGGAAAGTTCTGAAGAAACCTAGTTAAAAACATGCCCTTTTTATTCTAATGCAAGATGAGTAAACTGCTACTCTACAACTGGGAGGATGCTTTTTTGACTGTCTACTGTATAAGCCGTTCTTGTAAGTGCAGGCCTTTACACTATGTGAGGTGCCATATGAGACCATGATGCCATATCTGCTGTCTGTCTTTACACCCTCTTTCTTTATGAGTGGCAATAGATGACAATGGAAACTGTCAATGTCTATTTGCCTACTTCAAGAGGACAAACACTACAGGAGGGCAAAGAATGAAGGATGATATGTAGGCTGTTGATGTGTGAGATACACACCAGGAGAGATCAGTCAGAATGAATTATAAATAAAAGCACAAAGTATTGGCCTTAGAAGTAGTGGCACCATAGAGCAGCACACTAGGGACCCTGTAGTAATGAATGAATGACATTCTACTACATAACTTTGCAAGAAACTAGACAGTCAGTATCAGTTCCCCTTTGCTGTGTAAAGTGAGAGACAGTTCCTTATTTTCAAGAAGTGTTTCTATCACAGTCTGCTTTGCCTGTAATGTGATGGAAACACTTGCATACATCTTGCATGTGTCTTGCATGGCTCTTGTCATGTCTGGAGGATAATCATAGGTTACATTTCCACCCTGAGATTATACAAAGCCCTTCAGTCTCCAGAGAAAGCTGATTATACTGTAGTACCCTAGTCTTTCTGATAGAGGCGTACAGTAGTTACAGTATGCCTATTCATGCCAATTTCTGTCTACTTTGACTAGAGTTGGAGAGCATTCTGTATGTATTGTTTACATTGAGAATGGATTTATAGTAGCTCAAGATGGCCTGCTGGTAGCACTAAGTATTTATATATTAACAACTGTACAGACATTTGTGCTTGTATATGTGTGTGTGAGTGTAGTTTAGCTATGACCACATTTAGGTGCTCACAGGTGTGTCTAAGTGTGTCACAGACCAAGTTTTTGCCACCACAGTGATCGTTTTCCAGATCTTTATAAGTGAGTGGCTGCCCTGCTGTGCTGGTTTGTAATTAGATTAAAAATGGCCAGGCTGTACGTGTGGCTGTGATTGAGCCTTTGCCTGTCTTCATGTCTGCTCGCTGTCTCTGTTCTAAGTATCCTCTTCTCACTGTCCAAGTCACATCAGACAGCTGTACCTTCTAACACCTTCCGACACTGCGCCATAACCTTCTGTATTAATGACCTCCTCCTCTGGAGTAATACTAACAATCACACAAAGGCCTTTTTTTTCTTTTTACAAAAAATTATAGTCTCTTAATTTATCTGTGTGGTTAAAGAACGGCTTGGTGACTCAAAGAGAATGTGATAAGGCCAAATGTCACTTTATCCTCCTGGGTATATTCATTAAAAGAATGAATTGTATTATTATTTTTATTTACTTTATTTACACTCTGGTGCCCAAAAGGGCAAACAGGGCAAAAGAATGATGCCATTAAATGTCTTTCAAGAAATGATTCTTCAGAAAAGAATTTTTGTGAATGTGAAGAACCTTTTTAAAGTTAAATATCCTTCCCATTATGCACCAGTTCTATATCAAAAATAAAGCATCCCTAGCATTCATAGAACGGTATATGCAAGCAAATGACAATTTAGGAATACAATGCATAATGATATCTGATTTATATCAGTGTTAGCAGAACATTGGTTTAAAAAATTATCTGCATTGGACAGAAGATTAAATTCAATCAATCTTTCAAACCAATATTTGATGACATATTTATTTGTACATTGGAAGAGCAGAATGTTTGGTGACACTGGGAAACTGGGCATCTAAGTGGATGTAAAGACATTTTTATTCCATATTATTTTGGATCATTTCTATTGACCAGTTCATCAATATAATGTGTAGCTTTTGTTTTCAGATGCTTAAAAAACAAGTACATTAAAACAGTTTGGATTTACCTTAAACAGCAGCAGTGATACCTAGAGATGGCACCAATCTGATCCTCATTTTCAGGCCAATATCAGCTAAAAAGGCTGGATCGGATATAGAACAAAAACAAGAATAAATCCAATCTTACCCAATGTAGAATTTTAGCAGAGTAAAAATATGTCTTTTCTTTTTATGAGTAAGGGTTGTTAGCTATGTATGTCTTTCTGTATGATAGCAGAGCGTTGAAGCAAATTAAGCATGATAAACTAGTTTTAGATGGCCTTCATAAATGAAGTGCTTTGCTTAAAAATATTTCATTTTAAAGTTTAGTAATTTTTGCAGCAAAAAAATATTGTATCATATTGGTTGATACTTAAGTTTTCAGCATTGGTATTGGTATCGAAAATAGACAAAATGATATCATGCCATTACTAGTAACTGCTTCTTACTGCAGAAAATATAAAGTGAATGGAAAGTGTTTAAATGTATTCAGCTGAGACTGAAAAAGGTGTTGGAATATTGTCTCAACCCTCCAAGTCTACAAACATGAATGAATATATCACAACAGGACTTCTCTGTTTAGCTAAGCGGTACAGAATAGTGCTAACACACTGTGGCTGTGGCAAGACTTCAGAGCAGGTGGTGGTTTAGCACAAGAGCAGGAGGTTATTAGCCTGAGAGTCAGAATGAAACAACAGCTATGCTGAAACTGACACAGCACACACTCGTCCTGACGAAACAGGCAGCTAAAGTACTCTGAGTCTTGTAAATATTACACAGTGAGCTTTGGCTTTTGAAACCTGAGTCATTGAAAGAAAGAGAGAAAGGAGAGAGAAAAATGAAAAGTCTCACTGCCTCATGACCTTAGCACATGTCTCCAGCCCCTGAGACCTTAAAAGCCAAACAAGTTCAGCCCCATTCCTTGTTTCAATGCACTGCCATTGTATGGTCACTGTGTCTCCTTGAGGGTGTTACAAAGGAATGTTCTTTTCTCTGCCATTGATGGTTGATAGTGTAATCTGTTTTGATTGCCTCTAGTTTTCCTTCAGAACCTGACAATGTTTAATGATGCCTGCAGCACAGATTTTATATCTAAGTCATCTGTAGATGTTTAATATAAGCTTTTTTCTATTCTATTGGAGTACACTGCTGCCACTTAATTGACTCCTTAATGCATTTTTAATTATTCACTTAAACAACAATTAAGATGCATCTCGTCGGCATTTGTAGGAGCATATCTGGTGCCTTACCTTGTCCTGCTAGTGTTGATTGGCATCCCACTGTTCTTCCTGGAGCTGTCAGCGGGCCAGCGGATTCGCCGTGGCAGCATCGGTGTCTGGAACTACATCAGCCCTCGACTTGGCGGCATCGGCTTTGCCAGCTGTGTGGTGAGTTTCATATAGTACTCCCATATGAGCATCCGTACACACATTCGTTATTTCAGGTCCATGATAAAGATAATTAAAGACAGACATAGCCACTGCCCAAGAAAGAAAGGGCTAATTGAGCTGCTCATTAGTGGCTGTGGATGGCTTTATTTTGTGCTTCAGTGCTCTTGACCTGGGCAGCATATGGTACACTGTTTTACATGTGTTCTCTACTGCTGTAGGTGTGCTTCTTTGTGGCCCTCTACTACAATGTTATCATTGGCTGGAGTCTCTTCTACTTCTCCCAGTCCTTCCAGCATCCTCTACCCTGGCACGAGTGCCCTCTGGTCAAAAACAAGACCAGCACATGTGAGACCTTAATTTTAATATTTTTATTTTAAAAATATTCAGTGGCAATAGTAACTATGCACTACTAACTAACGAACCTTTCTACGTATCACAGGGACATATCTGAATATATTAATTGCCTTTTTCTAAACCAAGCTCCATATTGCTCACACTGGAACTCACTGTTCTTGTTATTCAGATGTGGTGCCTGAGTGTGAGAAGAGTTCTGCCACCACCTACTACTGGTACCGCGAGGCTCTGGACATCTCCAACTCTATCTCAGAGAGTGGAGGGCTGAACTGGAAGATGACTCTGTGCCTGCTGGCCGCATGGGCCATGGTGTGTCTGGCCATGATCAAAGGCATCCAGTCCTCAGGAAAGGTAAGCAGGGCAGCAACAGTGTGGAATTGGGAAAATCTGGATCTATGATGGTATGTAGACAGTATCAGCATTACAACCCAGTACAATGCATCAGTATAAATGTATGTAAATAAACGTAGGTTGTTCCTAAAAACAGCAATAATTTAGAAAATATAATGTCAATAAAAAAGGTGTTTTTGGGAATTTATTAAATTTAGACTGGAAGAATAAAAGGATGTAGGCTTCCTCTCCAAGTCTACAAAAAACAAATGGAAATACAGTACAAAGACTTCACATAGTTAAGCTACTATACATAGACTAAGTAAACCAGAGAACCTTTCCTCTTTTCAACAGGACATAAAGCAGAATCTAAATATGCCTTTTTCATAAACAAACCACATCCTACACACACAGAAAGACACACTGTATTTAAAAAACATGGTTTCTGCTTTGTGAGGCAGCTAAGACTAAAACTCAATATTAATAGTAAATTCCATCGTATGCAAAAGTTTGGGCACCGTTGGTTGAATTATACGTTTGGTTGATAATAAGTACACATTCTCTACAAAGAACACACTTCTGCACATTTTAATGAACAGTTACTGTTTGTCTGCTGAATTTAGCATATTGAAAAAAAAATCATAAACTGAAACAAATGGAGTCAGTGCAAAAGTTAGAGGATGTTTTAACTGATTTTCATATAGAAAATTAATAAAACATGCAATTTGTATGTAAACTTTTGTATACGACTGTATATTTATTCTGGGGTTTGCATGTTAACAAGCTTAATAAAGTCAGCAGCCCTTTACGTTAGAAAGTGGTTATAATAACCACTGTGAAGGTCATAGCAACACTAGCATGAAAAGCACAGTCATAAGAATTGAGATATTTCCCATTGCCTCCAGCAGATGCCTTTAGTGGCACTAAAAACCTCCAGTCTCTCATGTGATTCAAGTCAGGGTGGTGTAGATTAGCACAGTCAGAATGCAACATAGCACCCCAGCAGCTTAGCCCTGGGGCCTTCTTACGTCAGTGTGTTCCTGACCTCTCTCCTTTCCTTCTTGTAGGTTTTCTCTGATCTCGTGACAGGCATTAGCCAGTGTAGTGATATTCAAAGTAAAAGGTATTATATTAGTTAAAAAAGGGTCTTCAAGGTAGAAATGTCTGCAGATAATCTTATGAGTCCATTTAAATGTCAGTTTTATCTGTTTACATTGTTAGGTACTTGTAGGGAAAGTTTATATTTCACCAGGATCTCCTCTCAGTAGAACTGGGTTCTTTCTTTTGTCTTTATGGCGGGAAATCACTATTTAACAGGCTAGGCAGTTGTTTTTATGGATTATTGTGCCTGTAGCGCCCCATGAGGCTGCGATATAACATTCTACTCCAGTCAAGGCTTTATCTCATTTAGTAGACCTCCAACAGCAGCCAGCATTCACTCTGTCCTGTGCGCTCTCTTTCATCATTAGACCTATTAGAACAATGCTAGATGGAGGCTTTTCTTCAGTGAAGGGATGTGTTGAAATGCACCAGATTATTCACCAGTATGTAAAGTAGAGTTCTCTGATCAAGCATGCTTTATTAATGTCCTCTCAGTCTAATAGCGTGCTGGTGGGCTGATTACAGTGAGTGTGGGCCCTTTGCCTCTGTATGGGCCTCTGCCTGCCAGCATAGCAGGGCAAGATCTGGGACTGGACCGTGTCAGAAACTGAAGGGGGTCAGGGAGGTCTTTGAAGCTTAACAACAAAAGAATATTAATGTCCCATTCACAGTTTCCACAAAAGCGTATTTCAAGAAAAAAAGAAATCCCACATGGACGTGCTCTTTTTTTCTGACATTTTTTACAAGTGTGTATGTGTGCGTGTAAGTGTGTGTGCATGTGTGCACGTGTTAAAAAGAGAACAAAAAGCCTTGCCCGTTGCCATGGTTTTTCGCGCACTATTCTCACTGGCAAAGTGAACAATCTGTTGGCAAGGCAAACTGAGGTTTTTTAAGGGGTGTCCAAGTACAGTATGTCTGGAGCAGGAAACTGAGCGTTTAAAGGCTCTTCTAAAGGCAGACGATTCAAGTGGATTGCTATAAAACTACCCCACAGAAATGTATGATTCAACTACTATCTTGTAATTTAGTGAAATCTTGTAATTTAGGCTTTTTGGTCTTTCTCTTTATAGCATTTATCTTTATTTGACTGTATAAAGAAAAATCTAAGAGAAACTACCTCATCTCCTTCACCCCTTTGAAAGGATGTAGACTATCTTTTATCACACTGTGGTAAATTACACAACATTCTTCTTTTATTTTTAGTAGTTGAACTTCTTAGCATCTTTCCCTGAAGTGGTAACTTTACATTTTCATTGCATTTATTTTAAAGATTAAAATAAGCCTGTAACATTGAGCTAATGGTAAGCTGAAAATGCATCTTTAAGCCTGGTTTATTATTATTTACTGATGAAGCTCGAAGTAAATAGGATTGTGTGTAAACAATGTAAAATGAATGAAAATGTTATATGATTAACTAATAAGGTTATTAATAAGGTTGAAAATAACATTAGTATTTGCAGCACAGCATTTAAGGAGAAAATGGAAGATAGTAAAAGAATGGTTCAGGAAAAAATCTAATTTACAGTTTTCACTTTCCCCTGAATGTAATTTGAGAAGGTTGAAAGAAGTTTTGCAGGTGTATTTAGAAAAGTGTTTTGGGTGGCTATTGAGTTCAAGTGTTTGTTTAGCAACAATAACCTCGTAGCTACAGCGCTAAACTAAAGAAGCAAATTTTGCTCACCAAACATGTTCTGGGTAGTGGACTACATCTGGTGTTAAGTGTGAAAATTGGTCCTTTAATTTTTTGCTGAACCAACCCTTTAAGACCATTGCACTGCAGCCCACAGTCTGTTGAAGTTATACTTGGAATACTAGGCTGTCTGCTTTGTATGACTGTGAGAGCTGTTATGCATTGTTGTATTGCGACAGAGGCAAACACACTCACAGCCCCCAGCTAGTGCATCTTTGCAAAAAAAATCATGACTGTCCTCGTTCTTAGCATCCTGCAGAAAATTATGATTTAAGGGCAAGATTAAGGAAAGCTTGAAGAACCATAAACGGTGAACAACCACCAAGCAGCCAGTGGACAAGACAAAGGCTGCCCCCTACAGGCCAAAGTTGATAATACAGTAGTAGAATCACAGCCTGTGAGGTGCAGTTTCCTGAGGAATTATTACAAACATTTCAAAAGCTTGTGTGCAAAAAATAGAAGCTGTTTTTTTTCTCTCAAATGCATTCAGTGTGATGTTGGGTGCAGCTGAGCTGTTTTGCTGCAGCGAAATATGTTACTTACAGCTTTTTTCAGTGACATGCTGTTTTTCGGTTGTCTTAAGGTGATGTACTTCAGCTCCCTTTTTCCCTATGTGGTGCTGATCTGTTTCCTGGTGAGGGCCCTCCTGCTAAAGGGCTCTGTAGACGGCATCGCCCACATGTTCACCCCCAAGGTGAGTGACTGTGTGTATGCATATGTGTGTGTGTGTGTGTGTGTGTGTGTGTGTGTATGTGTGTGTGTGTGTGTGTGTGTGTGTGTGTGTGTGCATGTGTGTGCCCATACATGAACCCACACTTCAATTCCTCACTCTCATAACCACATACCTTACATTTTAGGTTCATAGTACTTACTGAATACTCAGTTTTAAGATGAAAAAATTAAATCTCAAATTTTGTTTTGAGTTTGTAAAAGATTTGTTGTATTTTCTACTGAACAGTAAAGTGTAATCTAAATTATTAGTTGTCTTGATTTCAAATGCACTTTACATGGGTGCTGTAATTGGTCACATGACCAGAGACAATTACTTTAAGAACAGGCCTGAGAAAAAGTTAGACATAAAACCACGGTTAATACAGATACAACTACCAGATTACATATAATCTTTAATCTTTAAACGGTCTATTTGTATTTATAAACATATACATGTGGATGGTCACAGTTGTAACTAGTGAGATAACACAGTGGCTCATATTCGACATTAATAATTCTAATATTCATTTGTTTTCTTTAATATAGCTTGACCTTATCTGACAAGTTAGGCATACTAGAACCATACTAGAACATGATGATCCAATAGAGACATGGAACACTTCTGTCATTAAAACAGAAAGCTGCCTCAGGTTTTTTCTTTTCTTTGATGTACGGTTTACTGTATATCCGTTCATTTTTTTTATCTCTCTTGGGTTTCATGTATTAGATCTAATTAAAGTTGTATTGAGGCAACATTTGACTCAACTGGTCACAATTGTGTCCAAGAATAAAGCATTTTCCGAAAAGGCATATAGTTTGTGTCATGGGGCTGTCCAAGGAGGAAAATTCATGATGTATTTACATAGCTGGGGAAAATGTAAGATTAAATAGGTTAATAACTGAATAATTAAACTAGAGTTTAAGGGGTTAAGTCCTACGCAAACACCTAATGCCGCCATGAAGAGCTATCACAACAACAGTTTAGTGCAATTCATTTAACATGATGAACGCACACAGTGCATCTCATTTACATCATCACTGTCAAATTGTTCATCAACAATTACTCCATGTGCTCCTCTACGTGTTTTAACAGAATTTGCAGAAAACAATAATAGTAACTATAGAAACGAGATTGTCCTGTCCATCCTCCCAGCAAGCGTCTGTGCCTGTAGTGTGGCAGGTTCCAGAAACAAATTAATTCCTCCTTCAGCAGACAGCCTGCATCTCAGCAGCCTGTGTACCTCCACCAGCTACTTTACATAACACACACACACATACACAGTGCTGTCACATGTCTGCTCTGTGATCTGCTCTGTGTCTCAGACCACCATCTCTTCTCACATCAAAGATTTTCAGTGTTTGTGTCTCAGTGAGTGTGCTTGTTTTTGTGTCTGTCTGTCTCTATATGTCACGGCACAAGTTTATCAAAGTGTGTTTTGTGCTATATTTGTTATCTTCTGCTGGCTGGCTTTAGTAACGGATATTTTTACAGTGAAATAATACTACTGCATAATTTTTATTCACATAATAATGTTTTGGGTTTTTTTTTGTTGAAAGAGAAGCATTTCAGCATTCTATAAAAACAGATAAAAGTAAAATTTGACAAGAAATTGTGGTCAAAAGCGCATATTCAATAACCACAATGCCCGTGTAGTAGTGAGACGCGTAAGCAACAGCAGGAGAGAAACAATTCCTCAGGTGACTGAGAATGTCAATGCAGGACGTGATCAGACTGTGTCAGCCAAAACAGTCTGTCCACAGTTACTTACAGAGGGATATTATAGTAGGGTTGCAGTGAATAAACCACTCATTAAAAGAGATGAATGCACATTTGTGGTGTAAAAAACACAGACACTGGTCTACAGAGATGTGAAAAACAGTGATATGGTCAGATGAGTCATATTCTCCACAAGAGGGTGAGTGTGTGTGTGGCATACACCAAGAGAATGATACAGGCCTGAATGTTTGACCCCTACAGTGAGGGAGTTTGGTGGCTCTGGGGCATTTTACTGGCAAGGTTTAGGTCCACTTGTCACCTTAGAGGGAATAATCACTGCAAATCAATACAAATTGTTATACTGACCACCTTTATCCTATGATGAAACCTTGATGGGAGCAGTCTCTTCTAGGATGAGACTACTCCCATCCACATGGCACCATTAAACCACTGAATGGTTTAATGAGTATCTCAACCCCATTGAACACCTATGGGAGATTTTGGACCATCATGTTAGTACTCCACCACCATCATCAAAACACCAATTGAGGGAATATCTTTGGGAAGAATGGTGTTCCATTCTTCCAGTACAGTTCCAGATACTTGTAGAATCTATGCCAACGCACATTGAAACTGTTTTCGTGGCTTGTGGTGGTTCAAAACTTGAGGTTGTTTTCTTTAATTTGTCATCTGTACATCAAATAATAGCAAAAAGAAAATTGTTCTATACAGTAAGGAATGTGCTAAGTGAGATAACTATTTTTCCGCTGTCATCTGTATCATAAGGGCCTTCCTTAATGTCTTACCTGGCTGGTTCAGAATGTTCACTTGGTCAGATGGTGATAGGTGTGTGTCTTCTTTCAGCTGGAGATCATGCTAGAGGCTAAAGTATGGCGAGAGGCTGCTACTCAGGTCTTCTTCGCTCTGGGTCTGGGCTTCGGCGGAGTCATTGCCTTCTCCAGCTACAACAAGCGAGACAACAACTGCCACTTTGATGCTGTGCTGGTCTCCTTCATCAACTTCTTCACTTCTGTGCTGGCCACCCTGGTAGTGTTTGCCGTGCTGGGCTTTAAAGCTAACATCATGAACGCCAAATGTGTCGAGCTGTAAGTCCAGCCTTGTTACAAAAGCAAATACAGGGAAAAGTTGTTAGGAAAGTCCAAGAGCACCTATGGTACTTTACTCTGGCACGAAGACACTGAACACATGTAGTTGCTGATGTACATTTCCTATTTACTTAAGGGATAAAATTCATCATGCTTTTCATGACCTTAGAATGATCAGCACTGGTTAAAAGTTTTTCATCAAATTGTTGTCTATAAAAACAACCATCCTGTTTTATTAAATTTTAGGAACGCAAAGAAGATTGTTGGTTACCTGGGTAACGAGATAAGTCATGACTTGATTCCACACCACATCAACTTCAGTCATGTGAGCAGTGAGGACTACCAGCAGATCACTGAAATCATCCGTGGCGTGATGGAGAGCGATTACTCTCGCCTGGGCCTGGACAGCTGTGATATAAAAGAGGAGCTGAACAAGGTAGGGAGCTGAAAAGGCAGGCTTGCTCTTGTTCAGTTCTCTGAATATGTGTTATATTGCACATGATATCATTCCAGGAATTACATTACCTTGTTTATGTAATGCTAACAGACACTACAGGTTCTCATTTGCTATTAACTAAAGAATTCCCTAGTTGTTGTTGAAGTTTTTCTTTTTAAATGACCACTTTTATGCACAGAATAAAAAATATGCATGTTTGAAACACATTTTTTGCTATTCCATTGGCATGGATTATTTAACATTACATAATGAGCAAAAATGCCTTTTTGTACATTGAAAAATGTCTAAAGTATTTGTAAAACAGACAAAATGTTTTTTTACTATCACCTAAATGAAAATATACCTACTTAAATATTAAATTTAATGAACACATTGCACTAAAGTGTTTCTTTGTTTTGTGATACAAAATGCATTTAATCATTTCCATCCTTCTGTGTCATTTATATAGAGAATATGTAGTAAAGGTTTCTTATAGATAAAAAAAACACATTTTTTCATAGAGAATGCTCTTTTAAATCTTGTCCGGAGTAGATGGGGCACTGTAAACTAAAGCTTGTCCCGCATGAGGAAGAGGAAGTGTGGGTGGAGAGTGAGAGATTTGAGCGATGCGTTTCTAGATGATGAAATAGACAGAAATACATGCAGTAGGAGTCTGCTGGGGTGATGCCATACTTACCTTTGGGCATACAAAGGAGCAAGAACAGACAGTAGTCACTCTGAGCACATTTATTCACAGCACAAGCTGACTTTGGCCTTTGTATGTGTTAGTTTTTGTAAATAAACCTCCACACCTTAGTGAGCTGAATCAGAGTGAATAATTGTTGACAAAGTAAAGCAATAATTGTGGCACCAACAGACATGACAAAGGAATTACAGAGTTATAGACTAAAATTGCCTGTTTTCACTGAAAATCCAAACTGGAATTTAATTGCTTTTGCTCACAGGGCTCAGAGTAGTACCTAGCCTCCAAATAAACAATCTGTCCCAACACTTTAGCCTTTTAAATGGCCAGTATCTGTCAGCCTGTCCAGGCTTTCATTCCTCACTCCTGTAATTTAAGAATAAGTCAGCCAGTTTGCATTGTCCATGTAATTACTGAATAACATGCTTTAGGATGCAATACACCTTGGAATTTAAGGTGTTAGTTGGAATTACAGTATAATAGCTGTCCTGGGGTCAGAAAGCATTGCGAGCATGGTCTTTACTGTAAATGTGGTGTAGTGTAGTAAGTGTAGTGTTAATGTAAGCATTTGCGAAAAGTGACTCTGTGCTTTTACATTTAATTCCAAGTTACATGATGAAGCTAAATACCCACTGTGCTGCTTTCTCTCACTTCCTCAGGCAGTGCAGGGCACAGGGCTGGCCTTCATTGCCTTCACTGAGGCAATGACCCACTTCCCGGCCTCCCCTTTCTGGTCAGTCATGTTCTTCCTCATGCTGGTGAATCTGGGCCTGGGCAGCATGTTTGGCACTATTGAGGGCATCATCACACCCATCGTGGACACTTTCAAAGTGCGCAAAGAGTTCCTCACAGGTCAGACCAAAGGCATTGCTAACCACAGCATTTACACATGATAAGTTTATAAATTTACATTTTTTTTTGTTCATTCGTTTGTTCTTTCATTCATTTGGATCATGAATCTGTTACATATGTGTCTTTCTTATCTACTAAATACTGCTATTAACTTTTTCTGGCCTTCTTACAGTTGGCTGCTGTGTGCTGGCATTCAGCATTGGCCTGATCTTTGTTCAGCGATCGGGCAACTACTTTGTGGCCATGTTTGATGACTACTCCGCTACACTGCCCCTCCTCATTGTAGTTTTTCTGGAAAATGTGGCTGTGGCTTGGGTCTATGGCACTGAGAAGTATGTCACATCTGTTTGTATGCTGTATTTGAAAGGCTTGAAATTAGGGATGCACAATAATAAATTTATCAGTATAAGCAGTTACTTACGGTGGCCTGCTGAGTCATATCACAACATTTACGAAGCAAACAAAAGCTGAGAATAGAACAGCATTAAGACAGAACGCAAGAACAAATACAAAAGTGAGAACACAAATACAAAAGACAGAACACAAATTCAAAATGCAGAACACAAATACAAAAGGCAGAATGTAATACATTACCAGAAATTAAGCTTTTAAAAACGCTGCATTTGTAGAAAAGATAAAAAAACTCAACAGCACTGAAACATTAAGCCAGGATACAACAGCATTAACTGAAAAGAAATTTTTTAAAAAAATGCTGTATTTCAGGGTCGCCCCCGCTGGAAACGCTCCCAGCCACTAGAGGTTGACTGTTTGTCATATTGGTGCATCCCTTCTTGATAGCGCAGCTTTTAGTGTTTTTGTTTTGGTTTTTGCACAAAGAATTATAATTTTTGAGAGGGTCAGCAGTGCCATCTAGTGGTAGTAGTGCTTAATGTCTAGTGTCATCATGCCATGTGCTGTGCTCTCTAGCTGGACATTAAACATAGCAAAGTAGCAAGTCACAGAAAAAAAATAGCAACTCACAGAAACCCTCCTTTTACAAGATGTTTCACAGGGTTCATTCAGCTGAATGGATGGCTGAACCTTGCCTCACAAACTTTAGTATAGAGTTGAATGTATAACATCCTCACTTGGTGAAAGTAAATAGTTAGTAAAGATTGTTATATTGTTAGTAAAGATTGTTAGTTCACTTGTAACATTTCTGGATTGGAAAAGTCAAGAACTACTGTCCCATCTACTGTATGTTACTATAATCTGCTGTACTACTGTAAGTGGAGAATGTAAATATTAAATGTAAATATATGTACTGTAACTAGCAGCACAGCTGAACTTTGTATAACTGTATCTAATGCTCAGACAGTTGAGGAGGAGTTTAATTGTGAAATGATAATCTCTCAAGTAGCATTTCTGACACTCCAGATAAGTTTCTGCATATTTCTGTGCAAAGGAACCAAAACTAATCTGGTCATCAAGCAACTGCCTGAGTTTAGTTTTCTCTCTTGTGCACTCTACTTTGAAAAACCCACTTATCTGATTTCCTTCAGGTTCTTCGAGGATTTAAAGGACATGCTGGGCTTCACTCCCTTCCGCTACTATTACTACATGTGGAAGTATGTGACCCCTCTGCTGCTCTTAGCTCTGCTGAGTGCCAGTGTCATTCAGCTGGGCATGGCTCCTCCCAGCTACAGTGCCTGGATTCAGGAGCTGGTGAGTCCCACAGCGCTTCTTTTGCCTTCTTTAATGTTTCAGATTAGGAGAATTACACCAAATCGCCATCTGTTGTACCAGTATGGTGGCTTATGGCCTGCCTTAAAGGTTTCCTTTAACGCGAAACATACTGTTAGCTTATTCACAATCCAGTGCAGAGAATGTACTTAATCAGTAGCAGTTCAGTTACTGACTGATGTAATCAGGGCTGTTGTTGTTGGCTATGTCGCTTTACAACAGTCCTTAACAGGAATGGATGGCGGATGGCTTCAGCTCAAGATTAAGGTTGCTAGTGTTTGCCGGAATAATCCATTTGTTGTGCCTGTGTGTCTCAGGCTCAGGAGCAATCCCTCAGCTACCCACCATGGGGCCTGGCTGTCTGCATTACGCTAGTGGTCACCGCCATCCTTCCCGTGCCAATAGTCTTCGTGCTACGCTACTTTAACATCATTGACGAGAATGCCGGTGGCATGTCCACCATCTCCTATAAGAAGGGGCGGATGATTAAGGAGAGCGTGCGCAGAACCAGCAGAACCAGAGAGGAAGATGAGGGAGATGACACCAGTCTGATCCAGGGGAAGACCCCCAGCGAAGCGCCTTCACCCATGCCTCCCAACAGCAGTTATCGCAAACAGAGTGGCCCTAAGCAAGCAGACTCTGCCACCAACGGTCACTATAGCATCGGTTATCTGATGGCCGACACGCCGGACATGCCCGAGTCAGATTTGTGAGGACAAGCTCAGTGCTTATATGTGAACTCTTACCATTCCACAACCATTCATCATGCTTCACCCTCCATGACATTGGCAACAATGTCAGTCAAGCACATCTTTCTCATACCACACATCTTTGTCATCTCCAACTGTTTTCCCCATTTCAACCCCTCTACCTACTGACTGAACACATGCCCACCCTAAAACTTGTCAATCTCAATCACATTTCAACTTCATAAAGGGTCCATTTAATAGAAAACCAGTGTTCTTTTATTTTAAATGCAATAGTCTGATGAACTATGTAACCATTTTAAATGTTTTAAAATCTCTTAATTTCTATATGGAAAATAAGCTGCAGCATGTGATCTCACAACCATGAACAGATTTGACCACCCACAACACTTTTTTCTCTACAGTTTAGCCACCCATTCAATTTAAAGTGATTAGGTGTGTTGTTACTGCTGACAGTCTGTAGCAGAATCATTGCAACTGGATATGTGGCAAAAATAGTAAATGTTGTGCTGTTTTTGGCTAAAAGAAATTAAATATCATTGCAGCCTTCCAAAGATGCCAAACATCCAAATGAAGTTGCCAAAAGTTTTGTTTGTTTTTAGTCTGCACTGCTTTTCACTTTTGAAGGAATCAGTTTGTAAGAACAAACCTCTTAAATCCGTTAGGGTTAAAAATATGTTGGAAAAATTATGAATTATGACTTGTATGGTTTTATGTACCACACCAAGAAACATAAAAAATTAAAAGAAAAACATAGAAAATGGGCCCTTTATCATTTAACTAAACACGCACATTACCATCTTTTAGTCTACCTAACCACTATACTTCACTATGCTGTTTATAGCCTTGAAAACAGTATTTCATCATGTATTATGTCTGTAGATAATATGCACCCCGCACCCTCAAACATCACCCGTGCGCATGTGAACACTCCTTCCCTTCCCTGTACGTCTGAGCGGATGTGTAGCCTAGGGATTTTGCTGTACCGTAGAACGGCTGTAAATACCGATCATGTCGCAAGTAAGGGCAGTTACTGTCCATCAATGAGATTAGAAGCAGCTTAGCCGCTTTGGAAGAGTTTAGAATGTACTGTACGTGCAAAATGTGAAAAAACAACATGCAATACAACACTTCTTTGATAAAATTGCTATGACATTGTGCACCATTGTGTGGATGGCATTTAAACCCGATTGTTCTGAAAAATGTGTGCCTAATCTCTCATTTGTTTATAGAATACAAGGAGGATGTTGTAAATTTAAGGTATTCTGTAAATATATATTATAAATATATTTATCTGATGATAGTTTGGATATCAAGATATGTTTTTGGTAAGCAGTGCTAAAAATCCCAAATGCTAGTTCTTTTTTGTTAGTTTACCTATCTACTGTCATCGTATGGAATTTCAATTCTGCCTAATTACTGTAAATATTTAATTTTCCATGAAAATGCTCTGAAACTTTTTTTCTGCATTGAGATTAAAAATGAAGAAGGAAAAAAAAACAAAAAAAAAACCATTCATCCAAAGCAAGTCACTGTGTCATCTGTTTAATGGTATTGGTACATGGCTGTTTATTAGACAGGATGGAAGTCTAAATTAGAGTAATAATCAGTGTAGTGCTGTGGTTTTCAACATTTCAGAAGATCATAATTATTATGCACATCAGCCAAACGTAAAGCACCGCCCCCAACCCATAACAAAGAAAGCAAATTAAATGAGCGGGCAACGGGGAAGTAAATATAGGTTATTAACACAGGTTTTAAAACATTTATTTCATCCAATTGTACTTGTTCGATCAAAGAGGTATTTTCAAAAAAGGCAAACAGTAAAACTGAAACTAGCTAAAAATGATTGACATGAAATTGTAAAAACATTAAAACTCAGTAAAACCACATTTCTCACATATCTCTATTTCTCCTAGCGTATCTGTAGTACCTTTCCCTGATTCACTTAGACTTCTCAAGCCCATAACGGAGTATTTTTTACAAGCTAACAAAGCACAGTGCAAAACAACACTATCATATCGCTATGTAGGTATTATTAAAGCAGCTGATATGATGTGGAGAGTTCTTTTCCTACTCTTATTTTGACTTCTCCCCTACCCGTTGCTTTTGAAGAAAAGCCTACAGTAGGTTGGGCTTATATGGCCTTGGCGAAGCCCACACGGTTGTTCTCACGGTCAAACTCTGTGTAGTACTGTCCAATGAACACATCACCCAGAATCCACAGTGGCCCAGCTGGAGGGGGGATATCCAGAGCCATGAAACCACTCAGGCAGATTTCTTTACCAGCCTGGCTCTCCTGATCACACAAACACACAAAAGAGACAGGGAAGTTGTTTTTACAAAGTCTTTGTGCCTTGCTTGCCCCTTTGGTAAATATTTACACCATGGCCTAGCGGTAACAGCATGTGCCCTCCTGAGGCAAATGTTCCAATAACTCAGAATGTGAATGTTTTTGCAAAAGCATTTACAAAAACAGTGTGTTTTACGTTTCAACATATATGGCATGGTTTGCCACATCATTAATCTGCCCACATAACAATTAACCTTAATGAGATTAATGTAGAAGAAACAGTAGAGCCTTGTTTGCTTTGTGACTAACCTTGAGAATGTATTGTTCTCCAGTAAGGGTGTAGGACTGTCCACCCAAGGTGAAGGAGACAGCAGGAAGGGAAGGGATCTTCTTACAGTCAACCATATACTACAGAGAAACACAGATGAATCTTTAGCAACAGCAAATAAATTAATGAATTAGTGAATGCATGAAGGCATTATAAACTTACGTTTATTAAAAGTAATTTTAAAGTAATCTAACGATGATCAGTAAAGGAAAATGATAATTTTAGTATATAAATAGTTCACCATTTCAGCACTATTTTCATTAAAAATAACATGATGGTGTTGTACCTCTCCCTGGATGAGGGGGATGGCTCCAATGGCCTTCTGCAGGGCCTTGATCTCAGCTGCGGGTCCAGTGATCAGAGACGTTCCAGTGTCCACAATGGCCTCACAGCCTCCTTTGCAAAGGGTCAGCTGGCTGCCAATGCTCATACTGGGGGGGAAAACAATTCAAATCTAGCAATCTATTCAAGGGCAAACCTGAAACTGAACTGAAGTTCCTAAAATTATCTAATAAAAATGTAGGACTGTGACAGATGCTGGCAAAAATGCCAACACAATGCTACATTTGATATATGAGAACGGTAATTAAGTCTATCCATCTTTGGATCTATACAACATAATGATGTGCAAATGTCAGCCAAAGGATCAGTGTCATTTAAAGGGTTTCTCTGCAGCTCTTTGTGTAGAAAGGCCCCCATTTACTACTGGCCAAAGTATGATAAAAAGCATATCAGAGTCACCTGCCAAGCACTTTAGCCTTCATTTCCACCACTCCATGTCTTAGGGAAAACAACCACTTCAATACAGGTCAATTTACTGACTTCTCTTAAGAGGAAGATTGAATTTCAGAAAAAAGTACTAGTCACTGTCTTGTGCAATAGTTGAGTAAAGGATGTGAAACTGGCCATTTTCTTTCACATTGCAGTTTTTGCTTTGTCTAATCTCTATGAATCAGCATGAACGCAGCGGTGGCTTCCTCAGAGCAAAGCATAACAGAAACGTGACTTTGTTAGGGAATGACAAGTCATCAGAGAGGAACTCTCACCCATCCATGTGGACCTGCCAGTATGCCTGTCTGCTGATATTGATATAGTGGAAGTCTCCAGTGTAGTACTTGGGGTCGGTGCCACCCAGGAGTAGCTCACCACCAGGCTGAGTATCTGGGTTCCTGACAAAGAAAGAAGGAAAAAAAACAAAAAACAAAAAAAAACCAATCAGTACTAATAATAAACAAGAAATTGGGGGGGTTGACAAGCTTGTTCACCAAATCAGCATGTTCACACTGAATTCAGCAGTTTTAAATACAGCCATGCTGACTTTTTGCTTCTTATTCAACCTTTTCACTCACTTGTCTATTTGACTATTAACCACATAAAACTATTTGTGTGCTTCAATAGGCCAGTACAGTGGCTGTACATGCAGCAAACACCAACCTGTTCAGATAGAAAGAAAACACATTCTTCTCTACTTTCTTCTGGCTCATCATCATGTCAAAAACAGGAGAAACCCCATCCACAGCAATACGAGGGTAGGCCATACCCAGAATGCCGTCAAACTTTGCTGCAATGAAGGCAACTCCAGGCTGTTTTATGGCCTCTCCAAATATCTGCTTCTGGACAGCAATATCACCAATCTAAAATACATAGTAAATTTCAGTGTCAGTCAGTTAACTTCAAAAGAAAAATTCTCCAAAAAATCCTTCCTATACTTACCGTGCAGGTGTCCTGGCTTAGATATCCAGACAGACTCCCACTGCCATACTGAATGGCAAAAGCAGTGCCATTCTTCACATAGGTGCTCGATTTGGCCCCATTGTACTTGTGATGAAGCACTGAAAAATCAATATCATATTAAATGTATGTTATACAGAGATTATCAACAACCTCCTTCTGCATAAGAAGGATTCACAATACAACTGAGTGCAAAAACACAATGGTAATTAGTGTTGGGCAATATGTCACCATTTCCACTAGACTATGACATTGACACACCATGACAGAGATATTATAGCAATAGACAAGCATTATATCTAGAATAAACTCCATAATATATCAAAGCCTGTTGCCAAGAGGTTTGTTTTTAGTAACTTCTATTTCATAAGTCTATTTTGTGTGCTTTACTCATGGTATCCACATCGACAGTTAAGTGCAACGTATATAATGTGCTTAGTGCTTCATATTGTTTAGAAAGAACAGTTAAAAATCAATAAAAAAATGAAATAAATAGCAAGTATGCTTTTTGTAAATGTGCTTTTTGTCTGGTTAATATTTACAATACTGTGCAAAGTTCATTTTAAAGTAATATTAAGAGAAACTGATCAGAATAAAACAATCAAAAGCTATTTCTGGTTTCCAAGACACTCGTATCAATCCAGCACACAGGAAGCATGTGGTCAATAATTCTATTATTGCAAACTTAAATACTGTGATATATTTGGAAAATACTGTGATACAGAATTTTAAAATTAATTTTGCTCAGCACTAACAATAACCTAAAAAATTACATTCTATACAAAGACTAAATCATGACTTACAACAAGCAATGTCAGTGAGAGAGCAGTGGACAGAGGGCACCCACAGGTTAGAGGATCCAGTGTCAAACACCACAGTAAAGGACTGGACTGGAGTGCCAAGACCTATTTCTCCATAGTACTGAGCCTTTTAATAGAAAATGAAAACATCTTCAAATTCTTAAACATAAGTAATGTCTAAATAGGATTATATGCTGAACTCCACACGAAAGCACAATGAAAACACACAGATTAATATAATCAAAGTTATTTCAAACTAAAAGGAAAACATATTTTACAACAAACATTGTTTATAAAGTTATTACTTGGCAATAAAACCACCAGGCCACTGCCAAATCCGATTGGGTCAACTCTCATGACACAGCATGGTCAGCCCTTTTTCAGGGAGGTATGACAAACAGTCTCATGATAAGCAGTCTTAAGCACAGCCTAACACTGTTGTCATTTTATTATTGCTTATGATAAAGAGAAAAAGAACCAAATACTTCTTCTTTTAAAACATGACCAAGCAAGTTTTGTGCTCAGTTCTGCTAAGTTCAGCCAGACAGGACGATAAAAAAAGTTTATTCTTAATCATGACTATTCATGTGACCTATCTTGCAGGACTGCTGTCTTCTAAAATGACTTCCTTCCTGTATACATTGTGGTCTCAGATAGATGGAGGGGAAAAAAGCAGTGAAAAAAAAAAATTCCTCAGAACTACACACAACACTCTCTGGCTGTAGCAATAGTGGTCTCAGCAAGCCACAATTTTAGTTGCTGATTAAATGTTTAGTGTTATAAAAAAACATGATACTGAATTTCTGTCACTGATTAAACAACTATGATATTTTTGGTACTGCAGAACACAGCATAATTTACCAATTCCCATTATATTATCATGAGTGTCCTTGCATGTACTTCCACATATGGTTGTACCCAATGAGTACCATCATATGGCATGATGAGCATTTATAAGACAACTAACTCATTAAAGGCTGATTTTCTAGACCTATTAAGCTTAGTCTTGAACATTGCCAATGGTGAATCATCACTGAAAACTAATTTTACTACAGATTTACACCTTATCTGGCTTTGGGAAACTGATCCTAAAAGTTTTTTGCTAGTTTTTTGATTAACCATGTGTGACTATTATTCTCAAACTAGAATTTCTGAATCAATCAGGCCAAGCAAGGGTCTTCAGTAAATGATTAAGGGCCCTTCCTTCAGTCACTCAACAAGATTAGTGAACCAGGGCAAAAGAGCACAATCAGGCTAGTGTTGCAATAGTTAAGACAGATCAGTTTAAAGGGCAGAGTGAGAAGCACTCACATCCAGGTAGTTCTTAAGGGTTTCAGGGGTGGGTCCATTGCTGGAGGGGAAACCCAGATTGTACTTTGTGAACCGAGAGCCAGCCAAGAGTTCCTCCACAGCTCGCCCCGAGTCTGACATGGAACGCCTTATGGAGCGAAACTTCTTTAGCGGAATCCTGCAAAATGACATGCAAAAATTACACTGAAGAGTTAATACACAGGCTGTGTTTATTGTATCAGGAGCTCACACTACACTATCTCTCAGCCCCAACACCACCTGCAGTATGAAAGGAATGTTCCCAGTGATCTGTTCCATTCTGCACCAATGAAATCAACTGAAAAGTCTTTTTTTTGCCTTATCTGATGCAACAGAGTGACAGAAACTGCATTTGTGCGTCCAAAAGTTAGCAGGGTTTTAGCTTCTCTTGTCAATACTGGTAACATATTGAACAGAAGAACAGCAGGTGACCAGTAAACAAACCCACCTCCCACTGTTCTATTAGGCCCAACAACAAAACCTTCTCATACTAAAGCAGGATGAAGCATTCAAACTGACTAAAGGTGATGTTAAGCAAAGGAAGGATATAGGCTAACTCAGCATGTTGACTCATCTAAACAAACCAGAGACCCAGAATCTCTGACTATACCCAGTGGTCATAAGAGTATGAGCCTGACACACTGGAAACTTCCGTCTGTGCGAGAAAAGGTGTTTGTGTGTTATGACGAAGCTGGACTTTGACACGGCAGCGCACCACGGAAACAAACACGCAGGGTGTTAAGTTGATGTGTGAGCTTTCTTAACGAGCGACCTTTTTGTGGGCCAAATGAATGGACTTAACGTTACGTATAACTGTACAACGAAGACTTTTAAGGGGGAAAGGTTACCAGCTAAGGTGAAGACACACTGAGGGCACTGAGTCATTTTTTGATCACTTGAAGAAAGTGTGGTCCTGAAACGGATTATATGTAATTTGATAGCTCAATGTGCTCCATAAAGCCCTCTCAAGTTTTAATGCCTCAAACTGGACAGTTATATTTTAGCGGTCCGTTTCGCAGTGACAATAATACACATAGCTATATTTTTAGTTTGTGTTTTTGTGCAGACATCCAAGTCTGCTTTACGAAGAGAGCCCGTGTTTTCTTAAGCTGGGCCAGCTTTTGCTAACGTTACATACAGAGCAACAGGGCAGACTAACAATAGCTACTTCTGCTGAGTCATAAACGTAGAGATAGAGGCAATAACGCAGGTTCGCTGCATTAAACTACATAAACCGTTTCAACCTCACGATGTCGGCTGAATTACTTTTCGCAGTTTTAGCTAGCTAGTGAAGTTAGCCCCAGAAATGCACTTAGGAGACTCTCTCTCTCAAGCTAGCTAACGCTAGCGCTGGAGCTGCAAGTATGAGTTTGAAGGACTCTGGCATAAACAAACAATAAGGTCTTTGTCGACTTTACCGAACAATTGCGTCGGACGTCCATGCAGCAAAAGCCAACAGCAGCAGACAGATGAGCTTCATTTTGTCGGTTTCAGCAGGACAATAGGCGCCTCCGAGTCGTAGCCCGCCTGCAGGACGGTGTTTTGTCCAGACGCTCCGCTTTGGGATTCGGGTAAACGGCTCTCATCAGCTGACTGCGGGGAGACTTATGGTCACGGTCACGTGAACGCGCTCACGCGCTCGGTGTTCGGTTACGTCACTGTGCTCGAGTTTCCCATTTCGCAATCGATTTCAATTCTATCAATTTTTATTTACGCGAACTTTTACAAGATATAAGCCGGTTTTGTCTGGCGGTTTTTTTTCTCCTACGCATCTTTTGTGTTTTTTAAATTTCCACTAAACTTTTCTGAATTTAACATTGTTCAAAAACATTGTTGCTGATGGTGATGAGGTCACCTTGCATATTCTTCATATAAAGCATTAGTACCTTAAACAAAAAATGTCTTTTAAAGAACAAATAATTGAAATTCAATTAATATTGATTTAAAAAAAAAGGAAAAATAAAGTAGTTACATTACCAATTAGTAAAGAAATAAATACAATAGCAATGTGAGCAAATAAAGTTTACCAAATTGTATATATTTATTTTCCATTTATTTTCATCATATATATATATATATGTTTTAATTTATTTTATGTATTGTATCTATGTATGTATAGAATTGTATGTTTTCATTTACCTTTATTTTTTCACGTATATTTAATTTTGTCTTATATGCTGTCAGAACAAAACCTTGCATCTACAAAAACGGAACTTTAGAGGACAAGAAAAAATGTTCTTAACTTTAAATGGAAGTAAATAGAAAAATATTTCTTTCCAAGTAATTTTGGTTATCTGTTGGTCAGTTCATCATGAAATTTTGATAAAACACAAAGGGCATTTGACTTTTTCAAATTATGTCAAAAAAACGAAAAATGGAGATATGATTGTTTTACATGTATGTACATATGTTCAAAACGTCAATACATATAACCTGAATGCCATATCATAACAAATATGAAATAATAAACTAATTGTTGCGCAAAGACAAAAATGAAATTGAGACTTACTTATTTACTAATGAAAATAATTGGGAGAAGGGATGATTTTGCCGATGTTCATTATCACATAACTCTTCCCAAAGAAAATATAGTAGAACCAGTTAGTAAAGTTAGTAATGAAACAGTAACCTACACTGCTTTATTTTTTTATCATGAGGAAGGAGCCAGCTCACCTTTTCCACAGCATTCAAAGTAACTAGTGCCACACAGCTGTACTGCACTTTAGTGTTTGTCTCGACTCGTAACTGGGGATTCAGCCATTTTCTAGGGTGTGGCAGTGCAGAAATAACTCCAGGGCACTGGAGCACTTAATGAGATCCTGCAGTGCACCTAAAAATGAAGGGGACAAATATGTACCCTAATTACTCTAGTTTGTCCCAGAAAGCATTGCATGAATTCATCCTACTGACAATAAACATTTCATCTCTACCTTTGAAACACTTTTCTTTCTCTTAGCTGTTAGGTTGTTTGCCAGCAGTTAATTCACTGCTATGTCATCTAAAATGAATGAGAAGGCTTAGTTTACTGACATCACAGGTTCAAATGGCAGGATTAAGAGGGCATAAGTGTCCAAATGTTCCAGTAAATCTGGTGTCGGTTGTGAATTAAGACCTAATCAGGTCACTCAGTTTCGTTCAGCAGTTGGCAACTGACCAAGTACAGACCCCCCCACACACACTGAAAGGATCAGGGAACAGTCAGCAGTGAATGTTGAAAACAATTCTGACTGTTTTTCACAGGTGGATTTTAAAACTATAGTAGAAAATAATAACAACAATAAAAACAAGTGAATGAATTTGTGACTATTGAATGCATGTTTTTGAAGTATATTCTAGTGGACAGAAATGGAACAAGACAAATAATATAAAACAAAATAATAAACAATAAATATTCTGTCGCAGAGAAAATAAAAATCACCCCCTCCAAACTCTTACTTCTGTTTTTCCAGTTCCTCCTCCTTATCCATTCCTTTCTTCTAATCTTTTCCACCTTTTATAATGGCTGGGCAAGAGCAATTCAAGAAGGAGAACATAGGTTCACATGGTCAGGTCAGAGTTTTCATTTCCTCCTCCATTAGCTAACTCCTCTCATGATTTGCATCACATGCTTAGATTTGCAAATGTTCATATTACACAGATTTGTAAATGTTTGCACATCTGTATGCATTTATACAGTGCATAATGTTTAAAAACCCAGCAGTGCTCCTGCATCTGATATACTTGTACCCACACTACCATGCTGGCATCACTGTTGTGCTGATAATGCTCACCATCCGTGTATTATCTGGTCAGTAATGGACCTATGGTGGTCCCTATCTAATGATCCGTGGAGTAAAGAGGGGCTGATCAATTATTCAACAACAGATGGCCTACAGTCAGTTATTATAAACGAAATGCACTTATGTGGTACATGCACCAGATCAAATGGACTATGAATGTAGATACAAGGCTGATGTAGCCCTGAGCCACCAAGTGGCCCCACGAGTACGTTGCTTTTGTTTTTTTTACACCTACCCTATGGTGACAAGATACAGCATGTAGTTGGTTGGTTTAGGCTGTCACAGTCTTCCTTGTAGTCTGAAAAGAATGCAGCTTGAAAGGTACAAACGTTACAACGTGCTGTGGCAAGAAGTTAAGGGTAGGTGAAAGAAAAAGCCCCTCCCCCTGTCTCTCAGGGCAACAGCAGCAGAACATGCAGAAATACATGCTGGCTGAACAAACTCAGTACAAAACAGCTTTATCTTGAAATCAGCTCATCAGAAAAAGCATGCTTTGGCTCAAAGCAGTTACAACACTGCTGCAATCACAAAAACGTGAAATAGGCAGATTTTCCTGTTGGTGTGAATCAGGATCGGCGCCACAAGCGGGCATGAGGGGGCGACGCCCACTCTGATGGAATACTGTCCCCCTCCAGTTTTGTGTTTGTGTTATTTGTCCTGCAGCTTAAACTTTATTTTTATTTATCTATTCTACAGAGTGGCCGATCCAAACTACATACACATTAATTACATGGATTTTCTAGCTGAGTCAGCCATTCAGACACCTCAGTGGAAATTGCCTGATGTGAGCCCATTAGATAGAGCTATGTACTGCCATCAGCTTAGTTCATTGTCCGTTGACAAAATATAGATTGTCATCTCAACTTGATTTTTTATGTGTAGCTTCTACAACAGTCCACCAAACATTAGCCCCACATCACTGCAAATCCTAACAGTCCATTCGTTAGAAACAACTGGAAGAAATTCTTTCAACTTTGGCTTAATCTGTCCACAGATTCGCTAAATAAATTGCCCGATCTGGACAAGAAACGTGGATGCCTCAGAGTGTTTTGGAAAGATATCATTCAAACAGCGATGTCTAACATACTGTACAGACAGCACTGGGGAATAGAAAGAGATGCTGCTTATGGTTACGGAAGGACAAAGATTTTTTTTTTTGCTTTGCAGTAGTTAAGCAGGGAACTATAGCACTCAAAAGACATTTGTAAGGGGGGAAAAACTACAAAGCAGGGGTGCTGTGCATCAACAGTACAGTGTGTCCTTTCCGTTGTGCATGTATCGCTTTTACGTTTATAGCCATTAGACTACAACAAATGCAATAGTAAAAATGTGTGGCCATCACTGGTGAACCAAGACAGCTAATTAATTGATTCTTGCTCATTGTTGTTAAAAAAAAGTAGTGTCATTTGTGTATTGCGTTTCATGTTTTTGAGTCTACACATTTTCTGTCATGGGATCTTGTCCACACTGGAGTGGAGTATATTTGGTTTTTCAAGGTCAGATGTGGATATATGTTGTATGTAGAGCCAAATGTCAAATAAGCCTCAGACATCTAATGCATAAATCATGTGATTTAGGCTACAGATGCAAAAAAATCATAATCAAAACTCTTATTAATTGACATGTGAGACCCTTAGCTATAAACACAGTCTATCAACGGGGACAACTGAACATGGGAACATGTTGTCATGGAGCATGTAAATGAACTCCTATGATGTGGTTTCAATCCATCAATTCTGAGATGTAGCCAGGGAGGTGGAGAAAATTTGTGCCAGTTGGAAATTAGTGACTAACAAGCAGCTTGGCAAGAAAAATCATTGTTCATTGTATTTACCACAGTTGAGTGGAAAAATAATCCAATAATCTCCTCTGTATGTATTTATTTGTTTGTTTCTTTGTTCTTTAATGTACATGTAATATTATGAATGGTGGATACTTTTAATAACTGATCAAATTCGGTTTGTAAGTCTGTAATTAGATCTATTTTATTTAAATCTTTAGATCTGTGACTGAATATTATATATGAAACTCTGAATGTTTGAGTGTACATCCTCATATTGTGACAGTGTTAATTTAAGATTTGCTTCTTATTTTGGCTATTTGTATTTGTGCCATTCACAAATATGTACCTTTTAAAAACAATTATTTTGTGTTAACAGTTTTCACAGAGATGAATCAGAGTCTTCACATATACACACTGAAATCCAAACTGATTCTACATCTTCTCCCCAGCAGAGGAAGAGAAAAAGAATCGTGTATAAGATGGAGATTGTATGAGATGTGCTGCAGGATGTTCACTGGCCACTGCAAATCACCTAAAATGTGAATTGTTAAATGAAAATGTCCTATTCCCCTCACATATCAGTCAGCTCGCTCAGAATGATCTAGAGAAATTAAGCTTGACACAGCAGACTCATCATCTCTCCAAAGGGCATAGCTATTCCTTACACTCTACATGTCAATTCCAATCATCAAAAACCTGGTTTAGGTCAGAAAATTCTCCACTTAATCATTCCTTGTCGTGTCAAATGGCACCTGACAATATTGTGCCTTTCTTATCAGCTATTAAAAGAATCATAAACTTTTGGCAACTCCATATTAATCCCCATGATTTTGAAATGGGATGTCAAACAAGCTCATTTGGGTGTGCTGTATAGGTGTTCACATACTTTTGATCATATAGTGTAGTTATCATTATCAGTAGTTTTGACATATGTTTCAGGTCTGAACCAGGGGACATTTTACATTGTACAGCTGCAGAGTGAGCTTAAAAAGTTACAATGAGACTCAGCATATTAATCATTGACAGGATTTTGCTTGGGC